AATATTAAATTAAAAATCAAAAATGTTTGCTGAGAACGATCGAATTCCCCATTAAACATTTTTAACGCATTTGTCACCATTAACATTGCTCGTAATTCATTTTATTAAAGATAACATTTATTTTTACTTTACTATAATTGCAAAATTTTATTAAAAGGATTAAAAATATTAAAAATTCTTAAAGAAACAAAAAGTTAAGGTTATGTTTATTTTAGCGCTACTTTGCCTGCGCGCGCACGGTCGATCTCATTCCTTTGTTCGCTGTGGCTTCGCGTGCTTACTTTTGAGTTCGCTGCAATGTAAATGTCAGTTTTAGTTGGTGAATTTGATACATTTTTATATTTGGTGGTGATAAATTTTGTCTTTTTGTGCTGTGCATATGTCCACAACATTTTAGGTAAGTTTACATTTATAATTATTAACATTTTATTGAATTTGGATGACGGATCTATAATTGATCTATAATAGATGGAGCAGATATTTACCTTTTGCCAATAAATAAACTATAATAACGTATGATTCATACGGTTTTCTAATAAAAATCCATCTCCCTAGGTTTTGCGTTAGAAATAAAGATATTTTTTCAATGTATTGAAAATTCACCTATTTAATTAAGTTAGTATTAATACCTATATTGCTGTATAACTGATCCCTAATAGATCCGTAATAGATGATTGTTTTATTAATGTCCGCACAATTTTTTTTTACATAGGTAATGGGGCTAAATTAATATTAATATCATTTTCTACTGAATTTTAGTCTTTTTATTCTCAATCTTTCTGTTGTCTGCTGTTAGCAATAAATTAACAATTTATTATTTTTATTAAGAAAAGAAAAGTGATTACTCTATAATTCATCCATAGTAGATCCGAAGTAGATAATTACGTTTTTTAATAGATCAAGGGAAATTTTCCAATAATAACATGATTCCATATGTTGTACTACAGGAACGAAGTATATTGAAAACTTACAATAATAAGGGCCTTTCCTGTTTATGTCAAAAAAACACATTTTTTAATTGATCCTTCTAATAGATCATTTTAACACATGAAATAGATGCCTCCATTCGAGTAGACATAAGGATCAAAATACGGTCAAATTGGACTACATACTTCGATATCTTTTAGACAACAAGGTGAAGCAATTGACAAGGCCTATTGGTTTGCCAACATTCCCAATTCAACAAAGATCGGATTTCAAGCAATTTGTAAGAGGAACTAATGCATCCCAGCAAATTTGCGTATGTGGTAAGCCGCTTTCTTATTTATTTTAATTACCTTATATAAATGACGATGATATAATTAACACACTTGTAAGTACGTTTATCAACAGAAAAAAAGATTAGCTGCTATTGAAGGTACCAACCTGAGATCAGCTACCATGAATGGATTAAAATATTTGCTTGCCAATAAAGTTGCCAAGAGATTTAACTAAGCGCGAAATAATGGAAAGAGGGCCTTTAAATCTACGAAAACGTCAGAAGTTCTTGGGGGTATGAAATTCACAATTGTCTGTAACATATATGTAACCTTGTTCCTTTCAGATGCTGTGTTTCTACATTTTATCAACAACGGTATAAACGCGTCAGCTGAATTAACGGATAACACCATAATAAATGCTACTCATGACTGGTTACGCCTGGTTACCTAGTGTTATAATTATAATAAAAATAAAAATAATTAATAATATATATTTAAAGTAACTTATATTTAAAAGAAACCAAAGGGATACCAAAAATAGAATATAATTTTTGTTTTTGTTAAATACATATATAGAACTTATTTTTGCTACTTTATTTTGTTATTTTTTTAAGGATTTTTGTTATTTAATATAAAACTATTTGGCTTTTATTGAAAATAAAATATGAAGAAAGAAATTCATTAAAAGACTTTTCATATTTGTAGAATTTCTTACAAGAATTCTTGCATAAGCAATGTACCCCGCACTCCTCTATGTTTTTAGGAGATGACTATATTTAGGTTAAGCGCTTTTTTCTTAGACGAGTATTTCTGTTATCCTATAGGAAGTCTATATTATAATATAGACGTCGTATTATTTTTTTAGGAAATGTTTACATTCAGAATATAGATTGAGCACGACAGAGGTCTAACTTTGATCTAAATAATTGTTACTTTAGATGACTGTATAAGTATACTTATATTATAATAATAATAATATACTATAATAGTAATCTAAAGAAACAATTATTTAGATTAAATTCAGACCTCTGTCGTGCTAAATCTATATCCTGAATGTAAACATTTCCTAAAAACATAAATAAGACGTCTATATTAGGATTACAGATATACTGGCCTAACAAAAAAAGCATTTAGCCTAAATATGGTCATCTCCTAAAAACATAGATAAAACATACATATATATTCATCTAAAAAAAGTAAGCATTTAGATTAAATTTAGACCTCGGCTCATTTTAGACTGAAGACGTCCATAATAAGACTACATATATACTCATCTAAAACAAAAAGGATTTAGATGAATTTTAGATCTCTGCTCTGCTTAATCTAGTCTAAATATAGATATTTCCTAAATACATAGATAAGAGGTCCATATTAAAACTATATATGTATATATCATCTAAAGCAATACTTATATAAGATCAAATTTAGACCTATGCTCTTATAATGATATAATGACGTACCTAATATATACGTCTATCTCGAGGACATTTCGATGCCGATCTGCAATCTGAACAATACCATCTATAGATATCTAACGAAGACGTCTAATGATCATCTTTAAGATGAAAGTGTGTTGCTTGGGTTATTATGTAGTTAGCAGCAGTAAATGTATATTCACAAAAACCATTTAATTTTATAAGATACTTGTTATTGTTTATATATTATAGTAAAAAGATACTACAGTTTTACAGCGAAAACACCAAAACAATAATTTACTATTAAAAACGAAATTGTTTTTAAATGCATGAGCAAAATTGACCAAAAGGAAAGCTGCAGAACATACTTTAAAAGCTTAAAAATACTTACCTTGCCATCCATATTTATACTTACCTGCAGGCATGCCTTCTGTTTGTGCACAACAACAAAAATAACTTTATGAAAAATGAACTCTATCACAACTATAATTCCAGAAATAAGGTAAATTTAACTATTCCCCACCACAGGTTAGAAATGACAAAACACAATTCATTATCAGCAGAATTAAAAAAACTGAACCCAAATACTCTTAAAAAATCCATACAGAGCCTCCTGTTAACAAAATTCTATCTATACAATTGATGAGTACCTGGAGAGTCTGCGATTATAAACTTATACTTTTATGTTCAGTGTTTATATGGTATACCATACATTTTATTTATGTTTAATTTATATGCGTTTGTTTTTATTTTATATTTTTCTGTATTCATTTATATATTACACTTTGTACCTGAAGATTTTGTAACTATTTAGTGACAAATAAATTTCTATCCATATATCTATCTAATAAAATTGTTTTTTATGCCGCAGGAAGCAACGTTAAAATATATTTAAAAAGGAATTAAAAATATCGCTAAAATAAAAGGTCGCTATAAAACAAGTTAGTTTTATAATTAAAAATATTTTATTATTTCATTAAAAAAACATTTTTACGATAATTTTATCACTGTTTTATACTTATTTCATAATTAAATTATATAAACGTTTCGATAATAAGTTTATAAAAACACTGCTCACAACATAATTGTATCTATTGAACCTCTAATATATTCAATTAACAATTTGGAAGTAACAATAAATACCAATAAAAATACAGTTGTAAAATAACAAAATTATAAAATAACTTTGCTAGTTGGGTGCACATATTTGTTATATGGGTGCACAATATGCATGGCACATAGCTTTGTGTCATTCCATATGAATAATATTCATATTACGAAGAACGGGTAGGTAATTAGAATTTAATGAATACAAAAAACTGAGTTGTAACTGAAACAGTAAATATAAATGCGAAATTTATGATGTTTTACATACTAAATTTTACTACAAGCGATAACTATGCGCGGCCATAAATTTAAATGATGAAGATAAATTAAAATTTAAAAATTTTTCATATTTTTAAAGGTTTAATTTTCTAAATTATGGCATAATCTTTTTTATACGGCTTTAATTTTTAGAACCTGTGTTTTATGTTTTATTTTAAATAATAAAGCTTAAGCTTTTAAAAAAATTTAGTAAGATGATATAATACTTCTAAGATTTCTTTAGGGATTTCTGAAACCCTTTTTTATTATTTCAGCTAAATAAATATTGGGTGTCAGGTTAAAGTTCAGAGTTGCCTTTTTGATAAATTATTGCCTCTTGTGCAATCATGTTTTTTTGCTACTTGCTTAGAAATCATTTGTAAAAAATATTTTATTTAGCTAGAAAGAACTTATATTTTATAAGAATAATTGCTTTATTCCTCCTGAGGTTATAATAAGTGGTATACTGAATGTTTTTAGAAAAAGTAAGAAAAAAACAAATGGCTTTATTGTCTTTATAGTATTCGCCTTCAAGATCTATACATCTTTGCACGATCAAACCAGTTCTAGAAGCACTTATTCTACACCTTCTATACCTTCTCGGAAGGGGGCACCGTGGTATTTTTGATGATTTTTTTAATGCCTTCTAAAAATCAAATTATTTTATATCAATCAACATTAATACTTCCTTGATCCACAGTAGCTATAGACCACGGTCTATAGCTATATAATTGCAATGCCAGAACGAATGTCGAAACGAAAAAATGCTAAAGATAAACACTTTTAGTGATATTTAAGTAAAACAACAAGCATTTTTATAAAAAGAAACTATTAGATTGTAAAAGTATAACATGGCCTAGGTACATTGGCTTAATTAAACAAAAACAAAGTACAAACGTTGAAACCTTTTTTAAAAACTCCATCTAAAATATCGGTTTTGTCTGCCTCAATAGGAGAGCTTATATGTATTTTGGCATATTACGCCCTTTTACCCCACTTTACCTACTATTTTATGTTCCAGGCGGTATAGCAGCAGCTGTAGTAACAGTGATAGGCCGCCCTCTACCAACTATTTCCGAAACAACAACAGCTTTTACGAATGTATCGTCAAACAATTCGAGTCCTGAAAAGACTTCTTTTGCAAATGGTCTTGAGGTGGATATGCCCACTACCACCGATTGTAGTACAAGCTATCAACCAGCACCTTATCCTATTAAGAGGAAGTCCAGGGATGGCGTGGACTCCAAAAGGGAAAGGAAAGCTGCAAAGACTTTAGCTATAATCACAGGTATGTTCAGAAATGATCTATTTTGACTAAAATGATAATAAACTTGAATTTATTATATATTTAAATTAACTATTTTAAAAAATTTATTTATTAGAGAAAATTCTAAGAATATCAATTTTGAAAAGAATGTTGAGTAATATTTCATCCATATATCGACCCATGCAACGAAAACTATAGTAACTCAAAAAACGTGGGTTTTGACTTACTATTATACAAGGTGTCCCTAAACTTAGTGGCATAAATTTGGGAGCAGACTAAGCAAGTCAAAATAAGACGAAAATCTAAATAAATATTTTTCCTAATTAGGTATGTTTAAAAGATACAGGGTGATAAAGTTTACTTATCATATCAGTTTTTTTAATATAACTTCCACTATGGTAGACTTGGAAAGGTGATATTTTGAGAACAGTCACTTACTACCAAAATACATATTCACACATAATAACAATTGTTCGAGTGAACGCAGTGTCGTAGAAACAGGGTTGCTTAAGCTTATTGTCCCATACAAACTTTGAGGTTAGGTTTTTATACCATTTGATGCATTTTTTCGATTACTCAGTTCGTCTACTATTAAAAAAGTATACCTCTCAAACTTCGATAAAATAAACCGTTTCCGAGATATCCGAGATTACAATAATTGTTATATCGCATTAAAGGACTAAAAGGTATATGATAACAAATTTTTTAATTGAAAAAACTACATTTTTTTTAATGTGACGGTCAGGGCAAAAAGTCTCGAGGCTCATGGAATGCCGTTTTTTAGTTTTTTCAATTAAAAAATAAAATTTGTTATCATATACCTTTTAATCCTTTTAAATAATGCGATATAACAATTATTGTAATCTCGAATATCTCGGAAACGGTTTATTTTATCGAAGTTTGAGAGGTACACCTTTTTAATGGTAGACGAACTGTGTAATCGAAAAATTGCATCAAATGTTATAAAAACCTATCCTCAAAGTTTGTATGGGACAATAAGCTTAAAGCAACCCCCGTTTCTACGACACTGTGTTCACTCAAACAATTAAAATTATGTGTGAATATGTGTTTTGGTAGTAAGTGACTGTTCGCAAAATATCACCTTTCCAAGACTATCAGAGTAGAAGTTATATTAAAAAAACTGATATGATAGGTAACACTTTATCACCCTGTATCTTGGAAACATAAGTAAGTAGGAAAAATATTTATTTAGGTTTTCGTCTTATTTTGACTTGCTTAATCTGCTCCTAAATTTATGCCACCAAGTTTAGGGACACCTTGTATAATATGGCATCAACTGTTTTTTTCAAGCCCTATTTGGTGGAAGATTACAGTAACTCAGACATGAAACGATAGGCAACCAGTGAACAACTTCCCTGTATAGTAAGTGTAATAATCCACATTCCTACAGGCGAAAATATATTAAGTTGAGTAACTCTAGTCTACAATCAAAACTGAGTTACAATAGTCTTCGTTGCATGGGTCGATATTATTTGTTTCATGACGTTTCATTAAATTGGCCACCAAAAAGTAGTGATTTAACTCCTATTGAATTTTTTATTTGGGTTTTTTAAACAGTAAGGTTTCAACTACTTAATGAATGAATCAACTATATCTGACTATATTTTTCATTATTGTCATCAACTACAAATAATAATTAATATTTCTTTACTCACCCCACTAGGTGCTTTCGTGTTGTGTTGGCTTCCCTTCTTCATAATGGCCGTTATTCTTCCAATAAACGCGAACCTCTTTGAGAAATACATAGTGTCCATATTCCTGTGGCTGGGCTATTTTAATTCGACGCTTAATCCAATCATCTACACGATATTTAGTCCGGAGTTCCGGCATGCTTTCAAGAAGATCCTGTGCGGACGGAATTACGCCCGGAGGAACCGGCATTTCGGGATCAAACACTTTCAATGATGGCGGCATGGTGATCGCTTACCTTCGGATCTGGAGCCCCCGGTAAGAAAAATAAATTAGTTTAAGGATTTTCATTTCAGGATATGTTTTGGATTTTAAAGCTTAGACAGTGGCGGATCCAGGGGGAAATGGGGGAAATCCCCCCCCAGAGCTTCAATAGTGAGAAAAATCGTATTAGGAAATAACTTATACTTTTCTTCAAAAATAAGTTTTATAATTAGCATCGTAAATAAGTTCTGGATAAGCTGTGCTTGCGAAAGGATGCATTGGTTTTTACACATTTACCTACGTAAAGAATTAAAAGGCGAATTAAATTTAAAATCATCTTTAAGAAAATAGCGTTAACATACGCAAATTTTAAAGACGCCTATAAATTCGTCATAGTTGTGACCTTGACTGTCTTAAGTAGAAAAAACTGTAGACTGTAAGGAAAAATTTTCCAAACCCTCATTTAGCAGTAACCGATTACAATAGGTGTTCTTTTACTTTGGACAACATTATTGTTGCTGTGACTAAAGTAAAGCATTTGACAGTGTCGATCACAGTATACTTTTAGAAAAGCTTTACTTTTATGGTATTAGAGGACCACCTTATGAGTTACTCCAGTCATACCTTAACAATAGAATACAAATGGTAAAATGTAAGGAGAAATATTCGTCGTGTTCAAACATAAACACAGGAGTACCACAAGGATCAGTGCTGGGTCCTGTGCTATTCATCATTTACACCAATGATATAACCTCTTGTATAAGGGCTACAAATGCTTGTTTGTATGCAGAAGACACTTCATTGATGGTAACCGGATTAACAAAAGAAATTATTAGTAAGAAAACTAAAAGTATCCTGGACAATATGCAATAATGGTTTAATACGAACAAACTAAAACTTAATAAAGATAAAACACAGTACCTTGGATTCACCAATAAAACTGAAGTTTCTTATAAGTCAATAAAGTTTCTTGGTTTATGGGTTGACAATAGACTGAAAATCTAGCTAACAAACTCAGCTCTGCAATATATGCCATTAGAAAAATGAAAGTAAGTGCTACTCACCAATGTGCAAGAATAACATATTTTGCAAGCTTCCACAGCCAATTAATATATGGTATTTTACTCTGGGGAACCTCAAGGGACTGCGATAGGATTTTTAAACTTAAAAAAAAAGCCATAAGAACTTTGTGCTCTCTCAGTAGTACTGAAAGCTGCAAACCGCATTTCATCAAGGAAAATATATTTACAGTCCACACAGTCTATTTGTTTTATGTATTTTAAAGTATGTGCATGTAAATAAGAATAGGTTTTTAACAAATGGAGAATATCATAGCTACAATACAAGAAACAAAAATAATTTCCAAACTTTCTATCATAGACTTAATGGAACCCAAAAATATGTAGGCTACTGGGGGCCAAAACTCTACAATTCCCAGTCAGCATCCAATTCAGAAAGATTTCAGTATGAAGTCTTTTAAACAACTTCGTGTAGAAGTTCTAACATGTTAAACAGCTCCTTTTTATGAGCTCAGAATTATGAGCTGTTAATGAACTCATAAATAAGAAGTCAGTTTTTTTACGTACAAATGAAGATCTTTTCTTGACCTCTTTTTGAACAATTTATTTTGAGCTTACAGAGTATTCTTTTTTCTTACTTCCAATTGAAATCATACTATTAACTCTTTTAGAAGTCAACATGGAGACGTCACATTTATGACATTTTAATGCGATTACTTTCTTCTCACCGCTGTAACTGCTTGTGTTTGATATAAGAAGCGGTGAAGTAGAATTTAGAGCGTGCTCCATACCAAACGGTCTTAGACCTAGGTAAACGGCTACCCGATACTGACGAGCTCCAAAAGAGCGAAACAGGCCGTCTATCGGTGCCGGTGAAGAGCACGCTTGAATTTAAACAAAAGTGAGACGAAGTAAATGCAATTCGTAAAATAAGCGAATACGAGCAAATTATTAAAATGATTTTAATAAAATCAATTTAACAAATTAATAAAATAAACTTGACATGTCAAAATAAGCAACGATCCAGTATGCAATTTCTTCATCAGTACCCTAGTAGTACTTCTATATCCAAAAGGGAAAATTCTAAAGAAGTCTTTTTATAAGTTTATACAGTAGGACTCTTTAAAATGCTTAATTGCGAAGTCAAAGAAAAGGGTTCCTCAAGAGTTCTTTTTTGAGAAGTCTTGATTAGTTCAATAGGTGGCGCATTCGAAGTCTTAAGAACTTCTTAAAAACTTCTTTCTGATGTCGTATTTGACGTCCAAATCATAAAATAGAGCTTATGCAGACTTAATTAAGACGTCATATTGCTTTCTGGGTTGTCTACCACAACATATGAAACTATACAACTGTGATAAATTTGAAAAGACTGTTAAAGATATGCTAGTCAACATGTGCCTATACAATGTAAACGATTTCTTTTGTTTTTAATTGAGTTATTAGCTTGAAAATGTTTTTGTGTATGAATATTTTACTTACCTGTTATTATTAATTATTGTATTAATTATTAATTATTGTATTTTCTTACTTACCTGTTTATTAAATATTTGTGATTTTTTGACAAGTTATGTAATACTTTTTGAGGACATTAAATTTATTATTATTATCATTATTATTATAAACTAATTTTTTTTTTAATTCTTAGGTAGCTGCACGACTTGCAGCCAGCGTGGCCGTGACGGCAGTGGCGTCGGGCCCCAGAAACGTCACGTTTAAATGTGACTGATCCGAAGATAAGAGATCACGTCACGTGGTTTCACCGATGGAATGCAGTAGCAGCAGCAATAGCAGTGATAACAGGAGGGTAGTGCTGGAAATGCAAGAAATTCAGTAATCAAACACACGTCAAGATTATGGGTATTTTAAAAATAATTTTAAATTTAGAAATATTATTTTTGTTACTATATCATTTATAGCATATCCCACTGTTTATATAGTGTGTTCACGGATATATTAAGGAATAAAAACAATTTTTATATACAGAATTGTTAGAAAAAATGTCTGCTTAATATCTAGCTTAAGTTATGATTCTAAAAACAATTTTTCCCAGGTTAATCCGGGCTGTACAAATTCAAGTGACCCTAGGGCCGCTGTAAATTAAATTGCGGTTGTGAGGACCGCATCATAAAATACGTTTGAAACTTTATTAGTAATTTGTAATAGGTTACAAAAATGATGTATAATTTTTTTTATTTAATTAAAAAATAGGTAACAATTATACAAAAAATTAAATTAAATTTAACCAGTTTATCAATATTCACATTAATATTTGTTGTTGACGGGGAAATCGGTTTTTGAATTCTTCTGCAATTGTGTCAATGTATTTTATTTAAGTTACAGATTGGAAAAAATTAAAAATCATGTTTTTCTTTGTATTTTTCTATATTTTATTTTTATATATTTTTTACTAGGTCTATGCATACAGCCCTGATTTATATTATAAGATAAAGATTACTAAAACAATAAATAAAAAAGTTTTTTCTATTACGAAGTTTATTAGTGAACACATATATATTTAATACAGGTTGTCCTACGAAAAACAAAATTGTACTGTTATGTGCCTTACGTTGTATGCACAGGGTTTTAGTACAAAAACTATATTTTCACAAAATTCTGGACCATAAAATTATATTATTTTCAAAATACTCAATTCCTAAAGGACTGAATATCATTGACCATATAGTTTTATTTATTAAAATTATAATTGTTGTATATACAAGCACATTCTTATGATTTTTAAATGTTTGTAAATAAATATATCTATAGATTTTATACCGAGAATTATATTAATAAATGTAATTTAAAGGCTTTGACCAAGTTATGTTAAAATAAAATAAACGCAAATCAAATGTTCTATATTATTCTAAAAAATGTAAATATGTAATTAAAATATAAATGTGCATTCTATATTAAATATATAATGTATATTAAAATAAGGCAAATAATATATTAGTTAATAATGCAATAATGTTAAATAAATATGTTAAAGTCTATCCTAATGTTAATTATAATTAGTGAAATATTTGTGATGTACAATCATAACAGGGAAAACGTGAGCCAAAATGTATAATATTAAGTTTTTTTTGCAGTTATTTGCATTGTTCTAAAAATATCATAAAATAAAAAAAATTAAATTAAATTTAAAATACTGTACCTAATATGTTTTAAACTAGTTCTTGAAGAGTTAAAATGTCATTATAATTAGTAACCCTGCGAATTCGCCATTTTTGACAAAAATTCGTCAAAAATCTACATTATTTTTTATTTGGACAAAATCAATGTTGCTACAATTTCTCTAAAATAATTTGGTCACGCTAAATCCAAAATTTATTAAAAAAATATACGAATTTGAATGTTTGTATACAGGGTGTTCAATTTATCTGCTCACCTTTGCTAACTTATTTAAACTAAAATGGTGAAAACAGAACAATTGAACGTTGGATTTACAAAATATATTTACATATTTTGAAAGAATTTAATTTAAAACAAAAAATGATTTTTTTAACCCAAACTTAAAAATAAACAATTAATAGGGAATTGAATTTTCTGATTGTTAAAATTTATTTTAACAACAATCAGAAAGTTCAAGTGCTTATTAATTGTTTATTTTTAAGTTAAGGATAGTTATATTAATAATAATATGTATTGCCATAAAAAATAACAAAACATGTCACACAAAAAAATGAAAATACAGCTGGTATATACCAGCTATCTAAATAAATATTCAGTTATGCAATAAAAATATTTCGTTCCAAATTTTAAAATAGGCTGTGTCTACAGTCCCGATCCCGACTGACGTCATAATTTTATATTAATTATATTAATTACAATAAAACTAAAACAAACCAACCACCCCAACCCAACATTTTTTGACAAAGGAATATTAATTTTATTAAATATTATAGTAGCAAAAATAATGATAAGAAAGGGGTACATAACCTAAATTATTAATGTAAAATTAAATATTAATGCTTTATAATGCCTCACTGTATTATTTTCTTATGTTAATTCATAAAATAAATAAGTATCGAATCAATTTTTTAACCAAGCACAGACATTACAATTAGCTGTTTTATTTTTATAGTCTGTGGGATGTATGCCGGACGTATGTCGACAAACCTGTTTTTGACATTTAAAATTAATGACGCAACGGAAAACATTCGCCGCGGCGACTATAGCATCTGAGCTATCCAGCTTAATATTAATTGTATGACGCTTGGGGAATAATACCAATTTATAGTGTACTGTTATTTGGAAGAAAAAAATTCCCCATTTTGCTACTTTGTAGCTTCAATAATAACGGAGTTTAACTAATAGCAATGGTCAGCAGATAACTTTGGTCAAGGTGTAGATAAAAAAATGAACTTCTCCGCAGTATTCACAATCATATATGGTATACCAGAAAAGAAGTTAGGAAATTGGTTAATCTTGTTGAAATAATTTTCAATAAGCATAGGTACACCATTTATTAAATATTTAATTTAAATTAATAACTATTATGTACTTTTGTCACATTTACACTCCAGGCACGAAACAATAGGCTTATGATAAGTAAAGTATGAAATTAACATTTTTATTGTAATTCGTCTAACTACCTGCAATAACACACATCCACTGTACTCTCAGGCTGTGGTGGATATATTACGATTGTTATTAATTTTTAAGTTAAATTAACGATCTAAAAAAACTATTAACGGTTTTGCTACTTCTAGAGCAAAATTATCAATTAACTTTCCACTTATCTCTTTACTTATAAATTATATCATAATACATTAATTTCTTGTGGCAGTTAATTCACAAAATACATTAAAAACACACAAACACAGAAACACGGAACATTTTAATATTTTCATAACTAAAGATATTATTCATTATAGTAAATAAGTTTATAATTAGATATATTATATTAATACCTATATATTTATTGGTATAGCTGCAACTTGAAGGCATTATAAACTTATTTTGTTAATGTTGATGAGTCTCAAATTATTTGCTTGAATAGTTGGCTGGTAACTAAAAGGTATTTACGCCAGAGAGGAGAACGATAATAAGTAACATTAAATTTCTATTTAGTCCTTTGAAGCTCCTCGAGTGGACCTCAATAAACACAAACTTGTTGAACTCTACCATAGCGGAACAGTTCAAAGTTGTATAATTTCATTGTATTCAATTAGGCTACCGTCTCCGGGAATTCGCTCTATACAATCTCACGCATTATCTTTTAAGTCAAAAATACCTAATCACTAAAGCTTAAACCTAGTTTTCAACTGAATATTTCACTCATGAGATTGTTGTAACAATGAAACAGTTACTATGACATTGTATCGTAAACCGTGTCAAAACCAGTTTGCTAAAATGTTCTATAGTACAAAGTTATTATTTACTCTTTATTAAAAAGTTAATTATAATAAAAGTATTATAAATCAACAAAAAATAAAATAAAACGAACTATAGCTTTTTTGCAATAAAATCTTATTTAATTAAATTTAAAATCTATTATACATTTTGGATCTACAATAGAAAATATTAGAAACTTAGTTTTCCCTTTCCTTATAATGTGATGAATGTGTATGAATAAAAACTAAGAAAGTGCTTCCGTGCAAGTGTACATATTAACTATGATGTTGAAAAGTATAAAAATTTATTATTAATTTTATTATTTGTTATAAACATATTAATGCAATATATGAGCCCTACTTGCGTTAATATTGTTTGTCAATTGTTTAATTTTAATTTTGAAAATGTATATAAAATTATAGTTGTAAAATATACCTCTAAAAAGTAAAGATTTTGATTTTTTTTAACCAATGATTTATTATTTTGTTTAAAAATGTCGTTTAATAGTTATTTTAATTTGGACTGCAATTTTATTTCTTAAATATATATACCCGTTTGGAAAATTTTCTCCAAAAATACGTAAAAATAAGAGTTTTTAAAGTCTTACTTTGTCTTAAGCCCGTATTACAGTCTGCAATTTTACTTGCAGCAATCTTTCTTGCAGCAATTTTTCTTGCAGCAATCTTTCTTGCAGCAATTTTTCTTGCATGCAAGTTTTATTGCTGACTGTAATACACTTTGCAATTCCAATTCCAACTTGTATGATACCAACCGAAGAAAAATATAAAATATAAAGTACAATTAAAATTAAACTTAGGTCCTGCCACACGACATTATAATATAATATATGGGTGATTCTCCAGAACGGAGCAAATATGCTGAAACTCTTAAATAAAATATACTAATGAAAGTAGTTAGCATTTAAATAACACTACAATAGACAGTTTATGTCTAGCAGTAGAACGTACTTAACCAAAAAAATAAAGCATTATTTATTTTATTAATTTGAATTTGCTTAAACGCTTTAAAGTCAACACCACCTAGCGTAGGTACAAAAATTAACCATATAATATTAGACTAGATGCAATTGTGAAATGATTCTTTCATATTGCATTTCCTCTAACTTGGAATGTATAAAAAAATACAACCAAAAGCAAACTTATTGATATTTTAACCCAAAATGTCGAATAAAGCATGAGACACCATTTTACAGCTGACTTCTTTGCAGTCTTTTAATATATGATAAATCCCCTGTATAAAACGTATTTTAGTAATGTTTGAAGACTTCGTCGTTTGAGTGATTTAGTGTTGATTTGTGTAAGCAAGGCAAGGGGGGTGTAATATTTAATAAAAATTTATAAAGAACAATTATTTGCGAAAAAACGGGTAAGTATTTTTATTAAAGATCAACTCCATGTCTTTAATAACAAAGGGATTTAAATACAATTGAAATTTAAACTTTCTCCAGGTGAAATAACCAAATATGCTTTGCTTAAATTACAGTTAACTAAAGATACATTATGTACCATTTTCTAAAGTTTGTGACTTTAACTATAAAAACATCAACTCCATGGACATCAACTCCATGGAGTTAAAAGGTATGTCCATGGAGTTGTTTACTTTCTTATTATTGCCCTAAACTCTTAGCTCATATAAGTTAAGGCATTATTAACGATAATTAATAATATATAGTAAAATTATAATAAATTTAATTTAATTTTTCTTTAAAAAAAATTTCTAATAGTATTATTATTATAACTATATGCATATATTAAGTTTAATTTATAGCCGCCTTGAAATTACTTTATGTTATTAAGAAATACACATTGAGGTATTATTTTGCTAGTGTTTTATTAATCTTTGCTTTTTATTTTTTTACCACCCCAATTTATCCCCGTTTTGGATATTCACCCATATATATTAGACTGGGCCAAAAAAATCAACTTTTTTTTTAAGTATATCGAAAATATGGTTTGGGGTGACAAAAAAAAATTATTTTGAAAGTTGAGTCCATAATATTAATATTAAGAGGTCTATCATCGCAATTTTAATATTTTTTTCCTCAGCAAGTTTTTGTCTCAGTACTCCCAAACCATTGAGTTTAACAAAATTGACTCGAAAATATTTTTTTAATAAAATTAGATGAACCATTTCCTTAAAATCATGCCTTAAAAATTGGTATAGTTTTACATTTTGATCTTTTAAATTGGAATTTTGTAATTCATGTAAAAATCAGTACCCATAAAAAACCGATAAATATTCTTATGGGAAATCAAATGCTTTACAAAAAAAGCCTCTTAACATTTTTGGCTAAATTCACTCAATCAAAAGTTATTCAAGGTTAAAATTTCGTTTTGACTTCAAATTTAACCTTGAATAACTTTTGATAAAGTTATTTAAACAGATGCAGGGGTTACATATTTTTTTAAATGGCAACATTGCTTTATCATCTTGGTAACAAACAACAATATTAAATAGTGTCAATATCGTTATTTTTATAAAAGTATACTTAAAGGGTATTTATTTTTTGCCAGACTTGACAAAAGCAAATACAGGGTGTCCCTGTCAGCAACATATAAAACTATACTATAGAATTAAGTAGAAAAACTCATAGAAATAACACTGTGTTATTTCTATGAGAAAAACTAAACACATTAACATTACATTGACATACACACAGGCTAAAATTTAATGCCTTGCATTTTTAAGCATTCTCTCTTATCAGAATACTCAGTAATTACTACTTAATAAATGAATAAAGGTATATACCTATCAATATTTAACAGAAGTGCTATGATATAATCTAATGTTGAATTTTAACTGTCAATCATTGTCTATGGTGTTATGTCAACACATTAACCAATATTTTTTCATAAGATGAAACATTAATTCCTAATGAAAACATTGTTTGAACATTTTGTAAATTGGACCTACTCCTATATAATAAGACTTGAAACAATATAATAAAGGTTAACCTATTATTTTCAAGTTTAAAAACTTAATGTTAATGGTCTTATTTTTTTTAATTTTCTAGGGTTCCTGGGGGTGTATATCATCCACTTTTAAGGTGAAGCGGGACTTTTGGAACACCCTTTATATATAATTGTATAGTATAGAAACTAGAGTTGATAAAACAATACATAAGTAATATTCTAAAATTATAATGTGCCTTTAAGTTCTATAACAAAACAGGGGATGTTTTATAATATGAAATAATATTAGGACATTTTTTAACCTAATATCAAAAAATAAAACATGTTTCAACTCAAATAACATTTATTAATTAAAATTATTATTTCCATGGAAACCCAATAACAGCATTGAAAATATTCCACATGTATCTATGTGCCCCAGTTAATATTTTACTTTGACTAGTGATGCTCATTATCTTCTCGTTCCATCTAAGCACGTTAAAGACGCTGGACAAAACAATATCGCTGGTTATTTTACCTCCCCACTCCCGTAAAATCGCCTCAAAGTGCATGACGCCCGGTAATTTGAGCAAAACTGCGTGCACTTTCAGTAACATTTTAGCCACTACCAATAATATGGCAGCAGAGAGGTTTATAAATACTCCTAATATTTTACCAACTACGCCCAACATGGCAGCAGTAATTCCTGCTGATATATTAACAAAGTCTACTTTCAATTTTGTTAATAAAGCCAATATATATCCAATGCCATTTTCTATTTGCAGTATCATCCAGGCAATTAACTCAATTTTTATTATTCCAATTTTGGCAACAATATCCAGGACACCTTTAAGAATTTTTTTGTAAAGATTCCATATAACTTCAAATCCTTCGTAAATTTTGTGGAAAATCATAACCATAATTTGTAATTTTAATGTTATTATGTCTTCTATTAGTTTGAAAGTCCATTTTGTAATCCATATGGGTAGTGTTATCGGTAGAAATATTAATTTTGTTAGGAATTTTGCTACACCTGAAACATCATCAATCAACATTGTATTTATTTTATTTTGCGCTTATTTTGCTATTATTATTTTAAACTTTGTTCTTAAAAAAATTCTAGTGGCTTTTTCCTTTTAGTACCCACAGAAGATCAAGGAAGCTATGGCGACACATTTGGAAAAGTTTTAAGACCAATGTTAATAATTGCATTAGAAAAGATGAACAATCACTAGGATAACGTGATTTTTACAAAAGGTACTTCTGAATGAGATTAAGTGATTTGTATTTTTTACCTTTTTCTTTATTTTCTTCAACTTCATATTTTCCCCTTGGCCCCTCAATAACCCCATGAATCTCTACAGAGTTGCCGTTCAGACTAGCACCTCCTTCTAAAGAAGCTCCATTTACTTCTGCTGAAAAATTTATAAAAAAAATAAAAATCTTTACATTGTTTTTTTATATCACCTAAACTCCCAACAATTGAAACAATTACAAAAACAAACAAAGAAAACCTATTCATTTTTTAAGTTCGCTGCTTTAACCCAAATAAAGGTACCTATAGGTAGGTATTAAGGATACTCAACTTGTTTGTAGGAAGTTTTTGCTAATTTGCCATTATATTAGTAATTTTCTTTATCCACTAAAAGGTTGATTAGGACCATTTGCCGATAATACGTAAATTATTGAATATTGCTACACTTACCTAAGCAATTAAATTTTTAATATCTACAAAAACAAATACGTATGTGGTATCTTTTACATCACGTGATATTTTGAGTTGTGTTTTAACTGGAAAACTAAAAAAATAAAGAGTTTGATAAGAAACTAATATAAATTAAAGAAAGTATAAATTTATGTTTTACCACCTTTCTAAAAAAAATATTTGTTTCTTTCAATTATACCCGTATACTTTTGTTTTTAGGGGGACATATTTACACATTAACAATGTAACTTTAATCCCTTAGCGGGGACGGCATTTACCCTGGGAAGGGTATGTTGTGATACATCTTTTGAAAGGGCATTAAATTTTCTTTAAAATGGCGCTTCGTTTTCTAAATTTGGTCAACGGACTTTCGAATATTTACAAATTTTGTAAAGCAAAAAATTTGTTGAAAAAATTGATTTTAAACTAAGAAGTCGACAAATCGACTTTATCATCAGTAAAGTAGTTGATGTGGATAGTTAGTTATTTCTGTGCTTTTATTATCTTTCGATTCGATAAAAAATGGTTTATTCTATTGCGAAGAATGTGGAAGATTGAATTGTATTTTATAAACAATCAATGTGCAAGAGTAACGGCAACTTTGTTTAATTAAAGGCATACAAATAGACACGTACATCATTCTAGAATTAGAAGCAAATATTATAGATATTGAAAATCCGGTGAGAAATGAGGCAGTAGAAGTAGCTGTTCTGGGTGAAATTACTTTGGACATTAAGTACCAGAAAACTTTCTGATGTAACAGGAGTTTCGCGGGCCACCGTACATAGAATTCTGTAACATAAATGGTACAGATATAAAGTTCCACTTCTTCAATAATGCATGACAATTGTCATTAATGATAATATCCCAAATAATTATAAATACAACCAACTACCTTTTTAATGTTTGATTCTCAGACGAATATTCATTTTTTCTCAATGGCATTATCAATCGTCATAATTGTCGTTATTGGTCCGACACGAATCAAAGGATCTTCCATGAGGTTCTTACTCAACATCCTCAGAAATTAAACGTTTGAGCAGTGGCGGCTCGTGGGTGTACAGGAGGGTGAGGCTACATAAGGTTAATTTTGTCTAAATACGAATAAATTTCCACGTCACCCGGGAGGTATTATTCTCCGACGCGTTGACCTTTTTTAAAATGGAGCCGATAGCACTAATAAACCAAAAAATAAACTCTAAAAAACAAAACAAACAAAATATCACATCAAAGACTAGATTTAATCTTAAACTTAAAAAATAGTCTTAAAAAAGTTAAAAATAAATAAATTAATCAAAAAATAAAACTAAAAAGTCGACCCCTACCTAAGTATTAAAAAATATAAAATACTATACGTCTATCTTTTAAGATTGAAAATTTATCTATTATTTGGTCGTAAAATTGTTGGTCTGCAGTGAGATTTAAAAGTAATTCTAAATTTTCACACCGCGTCTCTAATTGAAGAATTATGCAATCTATTATTTCAAAATATAAAATTTTTCTTAATAAAAACTGCTAAATCTACCTTAGTGTGTTCCCTACAATAATTAAATAAGAAATTTTACTAATCGAGACAAAAACTATAAAAGATCAGCCCTTAGTGTGTTCCCTACAATAATTAAATAAGAAATTTTACTAATCGAGACAAAAACTATAAAAGATCAACCAAAAGTTTTAAATAATTTAATCTGAATCAAAACAATAACGTGCTCTACAAGCGCTAAGATAAGACTGGCAACCTTCTTTGTCTCCGCTGGCATCCCACCATAAACGAACGACCAATCAGAACAAACCAAGCTAACTTAATTTCGCCTCATGTACGGTGTTTATTCGCGAACTTACGGCGATATTTTTGTTGGTGAGTCATTTTCGCCTTCAAGACGTAAATGGGAGCTTCCGAGGCTGTGAAAATTTCGCCTCTGTCCAAGCCAAGATACATACAACAAGCGACTCGACGCGCTTTGCGCCTGGATTTTTATTTACGCTTAATATTATTGATTGGTTTTTTACTTTTTAGTGGTAGAACTGTTGTAAAAATACACTTGTATTAGGCAAAAATATAAATACAAAAAGTCGTTCGTTCCTTCATTTTAAGGGTGAGGCGCGGCCTCAGAGGCCTACCCTGACGAGCCGCCACTGCGTTTGAGCTGGTGATCACATAATTGGACCATTTTTCTTGCCTGGAAATTTAAATGGGGCTACTTCAGTAATTACTTAGACTTGTTCGAGAATGCAGTCAATCCAGCGCTGCAGCGAGTGACGAGTCGTCACCCAAGCAGCATTTTTGGCTGACGACCAACGATACCATGAAGAAAATCCGATATTTCAGTATGATAGTGATCCTCCCCAGTATGCATTTACTGTACGGCAGTTTCTGGATGTTACCTTTCCTGGTAGATTGATTTGAAGAAGGATGTATCTCCCCGGGCCCCTTGATTTCTTTTAGTGGGGACATTTGAAATCCAAAATTGATGTCACCCAGCCTGAATCCTTAAAAGATTTACGGAAGTACTAATCAACTGAAAATATATAAGTACTTATAGTTAGTGGGGTCTATAATTATTATATTATATTTTTATATATTATTTTAATAAAATTACATTAAATTTCTTGGCAACCGAAAGCACAAATTTAAAAAACAGTGATGAAATTAATGTGTAATTATGTCCCCCTGACAACAAAAGTATACGGGTACGAAGATTTTTGTTTATTTTTACACAAACCTAGTTTTGTTAGCAGTTAAATAAATCAATTAAATACCTACTGCTTTTTATAAAATTGTAGTGTATGCTAACAAATTTCTTGTTTAGCAGTTACTGCCTTTCTCCATAGTTGAGCTGTTCAGTAAAAAATAATTTTTTGGTGTGTTTTATTTCTGCATTCATTTAAAAGTAGCATTTAACTTTTTTAATTTATGTTTTGAACATAAAATGTAGGTAATCAAAAGAGAAAACAAAATGTTTTTTTAAATTTTGATTTAGGATTTGGAAATTTTAATCGAAAGAGAAAACAAATTGTTTTTTAAAGTTTTGATTTATGATTTGTTAATTTTTAAAAATTTATTTAGGAATAATCTTAAAAAATTTAAAATATTTTTTATTTACCGAATTTTTAATAAATAATTGTTCACGTTGTTTCTATAATTTTGTAGTTAGGGTAATATTACAACAATTTTAAAAATATTTTTTCTGCATAAATTTATAGAAAAAATAAAAAAATATCAATATTTAAAGTATTAATTCCACATTCTTGGTCCATTAGAAGTTTCTGGGGAACGGAAAAAAATCGAATTGAAATATTAAAATCGTTTAATTTAAGTGTGTTTTTATAAAATATTTCTTGAACAAAATGCCACCAGTCTAACTGGAAGTAACATCAACTTTGTTATTTGAAATATAACCCCAAATTTTTTACATTTTTTAAATTCTAAATAAAATTCTGATTTGAATTACATTAACATGTGTAAATAATTTTCGAGTTATTAATTTTTTTCGTTAAAATTTAAGAAATGCGCGTCAATCAATGCGCCTATAACTTTTTTGTTATTATAATAACAAAAAAGTTATAGGTTTGCGAATATGGGGTGGAATTTTTGGAATCTGAAATATTTTTTAAAAGATTCCTTGTTAATTCTTTAACATTTTTGAACAAATTATAATTATCTGAGAAAACCCCGGGCAAATTTTTTTTATTTTAAAATGTATGTTTTTAGATAATCAAATAGGTAGTAAATTAAAAAACCTTTCCATTAGGTAATCTAACTAGGTACCGTAAACACGGGTGGCTTCAGCTCACTTTCAAACTTAAGCTTAAAATTTTTGTGGTTTTAACAATTATAAACATTTAATTTTGTATATCAAAATTTGAGTCTTGAATTGCTCTTTCATAATAACTATGTTATAATATTACATAAGGCTGAGTTTCAAAAATAAAAATTAAAAACTGGGTGTGCAAAGTTACCCCCTGGTTGCGGGTAACTTTGTCTCACAGTGTATTTTCCGTATAAAATTAACTCAATATTTTATTTTATTTTTATTAGACACGTGTTAGCAGCGAAATATATCTATAGATATATATAACACAGTACGACAAAATTTGATTTTTGGTCCCTCCCATGAAAAATTTCTACAAATTCTAAAAATAGAGTTAAAAAAATGATACCCGTGTCTCGGCGTTTTTTCACATCACGTCATAATTTTTTTTTTAAGGGCTATCCAATAAAATGTTATTCACACTATTCGCGACATAATTTAATAGACTCGATAACAGCTGGACTGCATAGTTAAAAATATATATATTTACTAAATGGATAGGCAACCATTATAGATGCATTTTAAAATTATTTTAATCTTATACAGAGTTTTGCACATTTATATATATTAGGGTGTCCCTTATTTTTTATTTTTTCACGCATACCCTCTAATTATATTTATTACGTATTTATATACTCCCAGTAAAAATTTCAGCTCATTCTATAAACGGGAACCCGTGCCGACTTGCATCTGAACCCTCCGTTAGCCAACGTTAGGCGCGCGGTATTTTGTAACACGGTTGGTCGCGAGGTCTTCGATCGTAAGTCATTTTGTGTTTGTTATTATGTGACCCTTATATTATAAATTATTGACAAATGTTAAAATATAGTTTTATTTATGTGTATACTTTTATAAAAATGTATATTTTCACAGAGAGTGGCTAGTTACCCGGAAGTGAATAGGCCGTAAACTCTGAAATTCATAAACTTAATGGGTTTTACTCTAAATAACTAAAAGAGTCTATTGTGAGAGATGACTACCGAAAACTTATTGAACTGTCTGAAATATTTTTGGGAGGACATCAAGAAAAGAAATGCTTATAAAAAGCTGAAATTTCATATAACAGTATATTTTAGCAATGCTAATTAATATATTAATATATTTAAGGGATAAAATCAACTAAATTTTTTTTTGGTCATTCAGATATAATAAAAAAAAGAATTTCGGGTAATTAGTTTTACGGCCTATTCACCCGACACTTCCGGGTAACTAGCCACTTCCTGAAAAAATATTCATTTTTATTAAAGTATACACATAAATAAAACTATATTTTAACATTTTTTAATAATTTATAATATAAGGGTCAGATAATAACAAACACAAAATGACTTACGATCGAAGACCTAGCGGCCAACCGTGTTACAAAATACCGCGCGCCTAACGTTGGCTAATGGAGGGTTCAGATGCAAGTCGGCACGGGTTCCCGTTTATAGAATGAGCTGAAATTTTTACTGGGAGTATATAAACAAGTAATAAATATAATTAGAGGGTATGCGTAAAAAAAATAAAAATAAGGGACACCCTAATATATATATCAAACGGTTTATTTTTAAACCAAGTAACAAAATGTTTCAATTTTAAGCCAATCAAAATGCTTTAAAGTCGGGTGATTACAATTTTTATTTATTCAATTTTTTGTAAAAATTGAGCTTTGTTGAATTAACATTTAAAAAAAAAATTAAAAGATATTTAAATGAATTGATTTAAGTCTTAAAGCAAGTGTACCTAAAACATATTTAATTTAAGTAAAAAAAAGTATTTAAGTATACGAAGTCAATTGAAACAGCAAAAAAACAAAAAATTTACACATCTGCGGCATTTATACATAAAAAGCATTGTTTTCAAAACAATCTTTATACGAGGGTAATACTTTTTTTTTAATGTTAAATAAAAACATTATTGCAGCGAGAAATCGATAAATTTTTCATATTAATTTTGATTGTTGAGTTAACCATCCATTTGAAATCAAAGTAAAAATGCAGTGTCCGAATCGAAATAATTTTTGTTATGTATGTGGTTTATTTGCACCTCCAAGCCATATGCGAAATATTACAAAAAGTGTAGTAACAGCTTTTGAAGACTATTTTTTGGTGACGTATATACCAAACTTATGGTATGTACCAGGGGTTTTATGCGATTATTTTTACCGTTGTTTGCATGGATTGCAAGATAAAACACACAGTATGAAATATGTTGCACCAACAATTTGGCTTCGACCCGTCGCGACGTACCGAACACGCATCTGACCAGTGTTATTTCTGCATGTCAAAATTAAAAAGTTTTGGATTTCGGTACAATTCTAGAGAGAAAATTGATTACGCCGATGTAGAATCCGTCATTCTCGCAAGAGTGCGATCTAAAGATTATCCAACTGCTCCTTCAGAAAACATATGTGAGGATAAAAGTAAAAGGCCTTTAACACCCAGTACAACCATTTTTTCCGAGATGGAATCTGAATTTATTCCCTGTAGTTCGGGTTATAAAGTACATTTTATAACACAGGACATGAAAGTACATATGTCACTGAAAATACATTTTCTCCATGCTCATTTGGACTATTTTCCACCAAATTTGGGCGATTTTAGTGACGAACATGGCGAACGTTTATACCAAGACATTTTAACAATTGAAAAACGCTTCAAGGGAAAAGACGTCAGGCATTTGCTGGGTGAATATTGCTGGTCAATTGTTCGAGATTCTGAAGCAACATACAGCCTGTTCAGAATAAAACCGAATATATCTATATATATATGGGGCGTGGCCTCGCCTCCCTCCAAGGCGCGTCACAGTTGCTTGTGTGATAAACGACATGACGAAAGGTCGAGCAGGTAAGGACTTAAAAAATGAAAAGATAATAATGCAAAAAATCTCATTAGCGATGCAGTCTATTTGCTTAGCTACTGTGTCGCGCGTTGGAGGGAGGCGAGGCCACGCTCCATATATATATATATATATATATATATATATATATATATATATATTATAGATATATTCGGTTTTAGTCTGAACGAGCTGTATAATCGTCAAACTAAACGACCAAGATTTTATTCCAACATGTATTGAATATAAGATAAATACAAAAATGTGTTTCATTAAAAAAAAATAAAAAAAAAATATTTAAAAAAAATCAAAATATAAACTTTTTTTATATTTGTTTTTTGTATTGTGTAAAAACATACAATATTTACAAAAAAATATATTTTTAACCGAGTAAAAAATGTACAATCTGTATAAGCATAAATAATAGGAATGACGGCTTCAAATTTTTTTATGACGTGATCTCGTGAAACTGTGAGACACGGGTACGTTTTTTTTACCTCTATTTTCAAAATGTGCTAAAATTTTTCATGGGAGGGAAATCGTGTTGTGGTACTGTGTAATATATATATAATATATTGAAAGGGATTACCGATAAAAAAAATAAAAAATCGATCTATAATTAAGGGGTCATCCATTAATTACGTGAGGCAATTTTGGCGATTTTTCGACTCCCCCCTCCCCTTGGTGAGGTCGTGAGATTTTGCTCGACCCCCTCCCCCCTCCCTTAATCTCACGTGAGATTTTTTAAAATGCATGGTTTTAATGTAAATAAGTTAAATTGTGCTAGATTCCATTAGATTTATTTAAAAAAATAATTTATTTATAATAATTATTGTTTACTTAATTTAACCCAGTTTTCTCGCAATTTTACACTGTTTCATTTGAAAAGAAAAAATTACGTGATATTTGCCGAGACCTCCCTCCCCCCACGTGAGATTGGGTGAGGTTTGGCTCGACCCCCTCCCCCCCTCAACACCTCACGTAATTAATGGATGCCCCCTAACCAAGGATCCTCATTCCAAAGGATTGCGCATAATGCGTGTAATAAATCCCATTTATTTCTTTAAAACACTGATTTTCCTCTAATATATCTTTTGAGTTTATAGGTATACCTATAAACTCAAAAGAATCGCACAATTGGCAGGTTTAGACCAACAAATTATAAATGTTAATTTTATCGAGCGCGAAAAGATTTTTCATAAAAGGGTTAAAGTCACCCGCGGGGTGCAAAGTCACCCGTGTTTACGGTATTCTTAAGAATTACGCGCCATGGCGCGTAATTCTCCAAAAACAAAATGCATTTTGTTTTTGGAGAATTACTAACCTACAAGGGCGTCGCTAAGGGGGGCAGTTGGGACCACATAACAGCTGACCCCCTATTTATACTTAAAAAAATTTAATCAAATGTCAGGTTACTTACGTAATTGTTAACAATTACAATTGTCCGGTTTTGGAGTAATTAACGTTTTTCTAAAATAAAGCGGTAAAGAAGAAAAAGAACGGAAAATTTTTATCATTTTTTTTTCGAAAAATTTAAAAAAAAATTTGATTTAAAACGAAAAGGTAATTAAGCAAACAATAAAAACGTGTCAGTTTAACGTGAGTAATAAAAAATCATTATAAAATTAAAACAAAATGGCAGCCGGTCAAAATTATTTTTTTTATTAAAACAATACGTAAGTATACTTAAGTTCGTTTAATTAAATAAATTTGAAAGTTAAAAAGCCGATTTAAAATCGTTCCGTTCCGTTCCGTTCTTTTTCTTCTTTACCGCTTTATTTTAGAAAAACGTTAATTACTCCAAAACCGGACAATTGTAATTGTTAACAATTACGTAAGTAACCTGACATTTGATTAAATTTATTTAGTATAAATAGGGGGTCAGCTGTTATGTGGTCCCAACTGCCCCCCTTAGCGACGCCCTTGTAGGTTAGTAATTCTCCAAAAACAAAATGCATTTTGTTTTTGGAGAATTACGCGCCATGGCGCGTCCTTCATTATTATTATTTTAATTAAAAACATGCTTTTGCTCTATAAAATAGAATAAAATCAACATAAAATTAATAAAAATGCATTTTTAAACTACCAATGAATTTTAAAAAGCTTAAAATAAATAAAAAGTTTACTGGGCTCGTCCGGGATTTGAACCCGGGACCTCCCGCACCCTAAGCGGAAATCATACCCCTAGACCAACGAGCCGCTGGTAAAATGATATTATATAATAGAATTTAATTTAAAGTTATATTTAGATCTTTAACTACAAATAATTCATAAAATAAAATGTCAAAAAAACGCAAAATATACAATTTTTACAATAACACATAGGTACACTTTTTATTTAATCGCCATAAAATAATCTTTGATGAACATTTTGAGTTGGTTTCATGAATTGATTTTTAATACAGGACTCCCTCTCCACGCAATACCCTGTATAAACATCCCTCAAATATCCAGGTAAACATGTACAACCTGGAGCACATGGAAAAAAACACTGAGACGGAATCCGGTTTTGACAGTATCCCGGACATCCTGGACAAATTCTAAAAACTTCCCTAACATCGCAGTCCCCTAAAAATGTTCTTTTTATCAATTTAAAGCTGATAATACAAATGAATTGATAACAACTTACACCATCCATTTACTTTGAAGGCAACTAAAAGCAAATTAAAACTTAAAAATAACAGCATTATTATTTAAATTTAATTGTCTACTTTACTAAAAGTATTATTAGAACTAATAAAACATTGATAGTTAAATTGTTATACAAGCAAACAACGTAATACCTTTATAAAGGTAAATTCCTGAAATTGCATCAAATATCGGTTTTTTATTTACATAGATATGAAATACCTCCATATAGGTAACTACCTCTACCTGTTTCTAAATTTCAAATTTCTTGTTATGCATACATCACATTATGCTACTAACATACCTATTTTGTTGGCTAAAACCACAATCTACACATGTAGTGTGGATTGTGGGTAAAACAACTTTTTTTTTAGGTAGGTATATTAAGCATTATGCTTAATATACCTACCTAAAAAAAAAGTTGTTTTAGGTATTCAATAAAATTGTTCTACCTATATAGCATACCTACATATGTAGGTATGCTGATTTACCTATGATAGGTAAATCAGCATACCTACATATGTAGGTATGCTATATAGGTAGAACAATTTTATTGAATACCTACATCTACAGTTACAACCAAAGATACTCCATACAGCCTGTATAAAAATACCTGTATGATACAGGTACTTTTATTTTTAATCTTTGATAGGTATAATCTTTTATACATGCTCAAAAATAAGCCAAAAATCAGTTTGTTAAAACGTAGAAAATACTTGCTCCTGTTTTTAGACAACCAACCTTACGCGTAACTATCAATTCATGGCTATTCTCCAGTGTCATGAGCGTTCGTGATAAGCACTGTCATCAAATAAACATGTTATCCAACTTTAAAATCAGTTCTTTTACTTTTAGAATGGCAAAAACTCAGTCAAAATGAGACTGGTTGATAAAAGTATTGATAAGGAGGGTGAGGGGTAAGTAAAATTCAATTTAAAGTAATAACAATATTTGAGGTTATTTCACATGTAACAGATTTTGATGTAGCAAAGCTACAGCATTTAAATTTAACTTTCTTAAGAAGTTTAATACAATGGCATATAGATTTATTTTCATACCCTTTATGTTTAAAAGTTATTTAAAATTTGTTTATTTTTAGTTCAATAACCCTCATTCCTGAGGAACCTGAAGATATGTGGCATGCATATAATTTAATATCAGAGGGTGATTCTGTACGAAGTACAACAATTCGTAAGGTTCAGTCAGAATCGGCTACAGGTTCCTCAACATCAAATCGTGTGAGAACTATGCTCACTATAACTGTCGAAAACATTGACTTTGATACTCAGGCTTGCATGTTAAGACTTAAAGGTAGAAATATAGAAGAAAATCAATATGTTAAAGTAAGTACATTTTAAATAACATGTGGAATGTCATATTAAATTAAAATTGTAGATGGGTGCTTACCATACTTTAGATCTTGAATTGAACCGTAAATTCTCTCTCAGAAAGCACGAATGGGATTCAGTCTCATTAGAAAGGGTTGAAATATCTGTAGATCCAACTAAAAGTGCTGATGTTGCCGCTGTTATAATGCAGGAAGGTTTAGCACATGTTTGTTTGATAACATCAAGTATGACATTGGTTAGAGCTAAAATTGATGTTACAATACCAAGAAAACGTAAAGGCTTTGTGCAGCAACACGAAAAAGTAAATATTTTCTGCTTTAGTTATTATTAGATTGTTATAAATATGATTTTTAGGGTTTGGCCAAGTTCTACGAGAATGTTATGCAAGGAATTTTACGACATGTTAACTTTGACATTGTTAAATGCGTTTTGATTGGCTCTCCAGGGTTTGTACGGGATCAATTTTTTGAATACATGTTTCAAATGGCTGTCAAATTGGATAATAAGGTTCTTTTGGACAACAAATCAAAATTTATGTTGGTGCATACTTCTTCAGGCTTCAAACATTCTTTAAAAGGTAAGAAAACAGTATTTTTTTAGCAATTATATAATTACTATATTCTTAAGAATGTTAATTGTTTTAAGAATATTAATTTGAGCTAGATGCAATTTTTAAGATAGTTACTAGGGATGTAAAATGACGGTCATTTATGACCGTGACATGTGACATGTCATTTTTGTCATTTATTGTCATTTATGATCATTTTTATTTCCTTATAGTCAATGTAAATATAGAAGCATCAGACAAGCAACTAAAACATTACCTAATAGATAAACTTAAACATACATTTATTTGAAAAAAACAAAATTTAAACAAAATCTTAATAAAAATCCTAGTAGAAAATATCTGGTCAGTTATAACTAAAAAATAAAATAAACTCAATGAGGAGAAGAGCTGAAGCATGCATACTTGCAGGTGGTGGCCACTTTCAACAGCTAATCTAAATTATTTTTGTTTTTGTTTACGTTATTTAATGTTAGTTCTTTTAAAATTATTTTATAATTAAATTTAATTTTAATGTTTATTTAATCATGGCGTTGTTTTCTCAATATGCGCATTAAATGCTTTTTATTTTTTTCATCTAAAACCGTTAGTCGTACAAAAAATTGTCAAGAAATCAAATTTGCCCTAAAATGAATGGGGATTTAAAAAATAATTTTTATTTTGAAAAATAGCAGTGGCGTGCATAATATTTTTCCAAAAATATCTAGACCACATCCTGTACGGACGCCACTGGTAAAAATAATAAAAAATCTTCTACATCAAAAACTTACTGTTAATGCTTAGAAGGCGTGTGCCAAATTTTATAAAAATATCTAGGAAGTTATTAAAGTTATGATAAAAAAAACGATTTTTTTTCTACACCCTGTAACTCAAAAATTAAGAGGTTTAGGTCATAGGTTTATTTGAACTTTTTTTCTTAAAATCAACTAAGGATTCACACCCTTAAGGTTCAGCATTTTATTCTGAAACATCCTGTATAAACATTTAAGTGTTGAGCTTTTTAATCAATGATATAAGGAATAATAAATCAAAATCGAGTGCTAAACCAAAGTTTTGCAGCTTTTACTTGCAACGCAAAAAACAAATAACGTGCGCGAATTAGCTGTGCAAATAAAATTTGTCGAGGAAGACTTTAAGACTCTTTTATAAAAAAACCTACTAATTTATTTAATAATGATGTGCAGTTCGTATGCTTTAAATGTATTGTTGACAATTCTTGAATTTCCACAATGGTATCGAACGCCACCAGATGTCGCGCGCGTTGCGAAAACCCGATGTTTTTTAGCGTATACCACTAGAGCTTTAAATTTATCCGTAAATTTTCAATTTGTTGTTGCATCGTGACGAGAGATTCTCTCGGAGAGAAGAGCGTCAATTTGTATTTATTGTTGAGGCAACACGGTTCACCGAACACCGTTTTTAACGAAAAAAATAGAACAACTTTGAAACATTTTTAAAAAAAATACTTACCAACTAAGTATTCAAAAAAAAGTAAAATGAAAATCTTCCATGTAGATCTTGGGAAATAGCGATCAATTCTTCGTAATTTATGTGTAGTATCATATATTGATAATATTTTAACTGTCTCAAAGTTAATATTTGTAGAATATTTTTAATTTGAAAGAGTCATACGATAGTAGGAAACTCAAACTTTATTCTTCTGAATGCATTATTCAAAATTATAAACGTAAAAATTGATAAACTTTAACAAAAATGTAAAAAACAACAAAATAAATCTAAGCCTACAGATGTTGACTATTGTATGCACAAAGACATCGAAGCAAGTTCATATTATATTTTTCTGGATAAATTAAATTTCCTGGAAAATATATTGAATGAATGATGAACTTGCTCCGATGCTTGCTCTGAGAAGAAACCAAGGGCTCTTTGCGTTTCTTCAATAAATTGAGGAACATGATAAATGAGAGCATAGATCTTTGGTGTACATGTAATTCCAGCTTTTGATGATTGTAGTTTAAATTCTTTTATGTAGTCTTTATATTCATCTGCTAAGTTTTGGCCAAAGCAGCCTGAAACTACTTGATTGAACGCCTCAAATACGGGTATATATTCATTGTCTAAAATAGGAATTATAAATTAGTAGGTAGAAAACATCCAAACAAAGCAAAGCTTATGACAAAGTTTTCAATACAGCAATCGACTTTAGTAGTTTTCGTGCATTATTGCCGTTAAATTTGCCATAATGGTCAAAGCAGATTCCAGCACTTTCAACCCATGCCTCCCAAATTCTGGATATTTGCTGTTTAGGGAATCAAAAAATTTTGTACAATGCCCAGCATAAGGTGAAGTTCTGGTGGTAGAATAAAGAACAAAACTGGGACATTTTGAACATTTGAACTTGAACAAAAACGTCTACATGTAAAAAACATCGATAAAAACTCGAAGCAAATCCGGGCGCAATTTACAAGTTTTAACCACAGAATTAAAAATAATATTTTGTATTCAGCGGTAAGATAAAAATCGAAGCAACAAATTGTAAACTCAGGCATGTTTAATAGTAATAAATATAATAAAATATAATAAATATCAGTGGTCTAAACTATACAAACCTTTTTCAATAAAAAATTGATATATTATCGACAAAATTATAAAAACTAAGAATTTTATTACCTATATTTAAAATATGAATTATAATTTATTTCTTTAGTATACTAAAGAAATAAATTATAATTCATATTTTAAATATAGCAAACCAAAAAACTGAAAGTATTAAAATAGTATATTAAAGTACAAGTTGCAGAAGGCCACATATTCTCGCACGAATTCGAAATTTGGCCTCGAGCGACGAAGGAGCGAGTGGACGAACGAATGAGTGCGAGAATAGCCTTCTGCAACGTGTGATTTATACTATTTTCTCGATTTTAACTTTTATTTAGGTTTTTTTAATTGTTTTGTGGTCGTTGTTAGTTAGGGGATTTTTCTCGCAAAATGTCAGTTGGCAACACAAAATGACAATATTTGTTATCCTGCACAAGTACAACCTGAACTGCACTTTTACACTTTAAACTTAAAATTTTGCATTAAAATGCATTGTTGGAGCAAACTTTATATTACAAAACAATAATAAAGGCTTCATTTTCAATAAAAGTAATGAATTTGAGGTTATTAATCAGTTTGACATTTTGGGGGTACCAATACTTAAAAACTAAATGTTACCAAAAATCGTTTAAGAATGAGCTTCATTCTTCAACGATTTTGCGTGCGAGAATATGACATTCTTACATAAAAATCGAGAAAAACAGTTAATTAATAACCTCAAATTCATTACTTTTATTGAAAATGAAGCCTTTATTATTGTTTTTATAATATTAAGTTTGCTCCAACAATGCATTTTAATGCAAAATTTTAAGTTGAATGTAAAAAAGTGAAGTTCAGGTTGTACTTGTGCAGGATAACAAATATTGTCATTTTGTGTTGCCAACTGACATTTTGCGAGAAAAATCCCCTAACTAACAACGACCACAAAACAATTAAAAAAACCGAAATAAAAGTTAAAATCGAGAAAATAGTATAAATCACACGTTGCAGAAGGCTATTCTCGCACTCATTCGTTCGTCCACTCGCTCCTTCGTCGCTCGAGGCCAAATTTCGAATTCGTGCGAGAATATGTGGCCTTCTGCAACTTGTACTTTAATATACTATTTTGACAAAATTTTTGACAGATCTACATGGAAGATTTTCATTTTACTTTTTTTTGAATACTTAGTTGGTAAGTATTTTTTTTTAAATGTTTCACATTGTTCTATTTTTTTCGTTAAAAACGGTGTTCGGTGAACCGTGGCAATGTTGTTAATTAATAAACACTGTATAATTTTTTTTAGAGATGGAAATCGGAAAGTTTCCATTTTAAGGAAACTTTCCGTTTTGGAAAGTTTCCAATTGGGAATTTATTTTCATTTTGAAAGTTTCTTTTAAGCTACCGGAAACATTCCTTGGAAACTTTCCTTGTTTTTTTCATTTAAATGTCAATTGTTTAACCGCTGATTTTCGTTAAGGCCATAACCTTAATGAAGCCGGATTATTCAGCATCATCACAAAAAACTTTTTTAAAAAAAGGTAAACAAAATAAAAACAATAAACAAAGTTAAAATCATTCTTACATTTTTGTTGTTTATTTATAGGCATAGCACAATGCCAAGAAAAAAATCTAGTGTTTGGAATTATTTTTTACTTTACTTTTTACTTTTCAATATTCCTATATATTAGTCTCGATATTAGTTACTTTGTCCCTTTTAATTTTTTTTACGTAATATCTAGGATTTACTAGCAGTGAATTTCTAGTAGTAAACATTTTATTTTTATTTTGTAGGTTTCAGTATACAATAGGAATATTCCAAAGTAAAAGATACTAAAAATAGTATTGCAGTTACATTCTTATTAACATTTTTTTAATTTTTTTTCTTAATACAATTTGACAAAAAGTTAATGTGTTATATATTTTTGAAAATCCCTGGCATAAAAAAAAATATTTTCGCAATAAAAAATTTTTTTTTGAAACTTCGGGAATTTTCGATGGAAAGTTTCCGGGAATTTTCGTCAAATGGGAATTTTCCCATCTCTAATTTTTTTTTGTTTATGTTGGTTTAACAAATTTTTGGCATATCGATGACTTTCTGCCAAAGTATCGCAAGCAACATAACTCAAATTTCGGGAATTGAAAAAATTTTTGTTTTAAAGTCTGTTTTAAACCAAATATAACCTACAGGTTTTATAATAAGTAAATAGCTATAATTATAAGCTAAGTAATTACTTATTATAAAACCTTTAGGCTATATTTAATTTAAAACAGACAAGCAAAATGTTTTCAATTTCCGAAATTTGGGTTATGTTGCTTGCGATACTTTGGCAAAAAGTCATCAATATGTTAATTAATAAATATAGCAATGACATAGCAACGTAACATTTTAGTGTTGAGGCATTGTTGTTAATTAATAAACACTGTATCTATAGGTTTTTTGAATTATGCTGGTTTGACGAATTTTTGGCATGTCACTTAATGAACAGAGCAACAACATGGCCACAATCAACAGAAAAAAAAAATTCGCTGTAGGTTTCCTTAAAAACAACGTCCCTCTAATACTTTAACAATAAATACAAATGTTTGGTATTTTCAGCAGAACTTTGTTGAGGTTGGATTTAAGTTTATTTTTACTGTAACTAAAAATGTTTTACTACCTACATATTTTTTTTCATTATTAGTCATCAGTTAATATAATAAATTAAATGCATTTTTAATTTTATGAAAATCACATTCTTTAATTTTAAATAGATTGATTTTCTTTATCAGTTATAATTTCCCATATTTTTGCGCATAGGTGAAGAATCACCCTCTATCGCTGTTTTAAAAATGACAACCTAAGCTAAATATAACTATATATTTTATACAAATCTTTTCAGAGGTGCTGCAAGATCCAGCAGTGATTAACAAAATATCGGAGACAAAGGCTGCTGGCGAAGTAAAGGCTTTAGAAAATTTTTATACAACTCTTCAATGTGAACCTGCCAAAGCTTTTTATGGCAAAAAACATGTCGAGACGGCCAACGAGGCTCAAGCCATAGAGACGCTTTTGATTTCTGATAATTTATTTAGGTGAGTAATTTAAAACATTTCTTTCCTATAAAGATGTTAATTTTATTTACTGTTTCCGAGATGTTTAGAAAAAAATATTTTTTTAGATGTAAAGACGTAAATTTACGCAAGGAATACGTCAACTTGGTAGATTCAGTACGCGAATCAGGGGGAGATGTAAAAATATTTTCAAGTCTTCACATATCAGGCGAACGTAAGTAAAAAAAGGACACTTTTATCTTTTTTATTTTTAGTAATATTAACAAAAACAGTGCTAATATGGACCCCCTAGATGTCGGCACGAGTTTAATAATAAGAGAAGGATTTTATATTAAAAATATGAAAAAAATGTAGTTTTAATTTTCAGAATTGGAGCAGCTAACTGGAGTAGCTGCAATTCTTCGATTCCCAATGCCAGAACTCGAGGATGAAGATAGCGAAGCTGAAGAAGACTAAACAGAGAATGTCTTTTTATTTTTTGTTTTAAAACGGGTAATTTTTTGACTTTTTAACCCTTGGATGACATAATATTTCACCAATTTCTATTTATTTAAATTAATACTAGATTTTGGTGGTTGTGCTCAAAGAAGTTCTAAATTAATTTTCAAATTTTACTTCAGATTTTACACTATTTTAATAATTGTTATTTTAGCGTTAAGGTACCTAATTGTCATTTTTTAGCAAATTGTTGTTATTGATTTTTTCACATTGTATTATATTAAATTGTACATTTGTCATTTAAAAAAAAATGTACCCCCTCCCCTAATTTATTTATATTAAATCAATATTATTTTATTAAGTATGTACTTTGTATAATAAAAAACGCAACAGGAATTAAAGTGTTTTAACTAAAGAAAAACAGTATAAAATTAACATTTATTAATCATGTAAATATGGTCAAACAAGTCTAATTTATTTTGGATTTTTTCTTTCCTTTTGTTGCAGCTTCATTTTTTTTTGCTGGCCCATTTTCTTTCTTTGCTACCTTCTTTTTACCCTTGGTATCTTCAGCTTTCTCAGCATCATGTAACCTCCTCTTCTTTCGCAACAACCAAATTTCTTTAGCTCTTTTCTCCTTACCCTCCATCATACTCTTGTACAATTTTCTATGCTTATTCTTCACCAGTTTCTCTCTTAACCTGTATTCCTGTCTTTCTTGGCGACTTTTCTCCCACGGAACTTCTTTGAAAACCTCTCCAGGCGTTACCGAAAGTTTCTTTTCATTTTGACTTTCCTCTTCATTATCTGATTCTTCTTCATCATCTTCATTTTCACCGCCGTCTTCTTCATTATCCTCGTCCTCCTCATCATCATCAACACCTTCCCCATCATTTTCTTCATCCTTTTTATACATATGTTCAATTGAAGCATCCAAAAGAGCTCTTTCTTCAGGAGGAATATATTGCTGATCTCTCTCCTTATCTATAAATGGTGATAAATGCGGGGGCAGAATCTCGCCCATGAAATATTTATTCACTGGCAATAATTCCCTACAATTTACACTGTCAAACAACCATTGGGGCTGTATGTAGTACCTCGAAATAAAATGTTTTTCCATCGATGGCCTGTCTACAATATGATGCGTAATGGATTCATCGTTCTCATCAAAAGTGGAGCCAACAAATAAGGATTTATCCCAAGAAACTTCTCCGCCAAAACAACGTATTATAAAAACTAGTGGTTCTCTTGGTACTTCACGATTTAAGAAGAATTTTAAACCTTTAAACAGGGTTTTAAGTTGTTTATCTTTTTCAGCTTCTTTTTTTAGTTCTTCGATTTTTTCCGGGCTTTCATCGTTATTAAAAGCATCAATTTCTAAATCCTCCTCAACCACTTCATTGGAAGTTTTCGATAAAGGGAAATTTAGAGCTGCTATTCTTTCAGCAACATAAACATTTTCATCCACCAAATCTTTCTCACCCTCATTCTGATTGATAGAGTTGAATTTTGGGGGGTAATACAAATTTAACCAATGATACAAACGGAAGTTAACAAATCCTAATAAAATCGTGTAGAATTCAACAAATGTGGACATAATTTTGAAATCTACTTCGGCTCTGTGTTGTGGCTCAAAGGAAAAGTGATGGGGTACAATCCATGTGACAGTTTCACCTTTAATTTCAGCTTGGAAGTAATAACCCTTAATTGAAATAAACACTTTGCGCAATGCTTTTGCTTCAATAACGGCATGTAAAAATTCCATTGTTAACCGTTGACATAAAGCTGATTGATCTCTTGGTACATGCGCCAATGACGGAAAAGTACTGAATAAGAAGCATAAAGTTAAACAATCATCCAAGTCACGAAGTGCATCTAAGAATGTTGGATATCTTTCTTTAACAATATGGTCAAGTTTTAATGTTGGGTGATTATTTAAATATCTGTGTAATCTTTCAAAATCTTTGATAGCCCTTGCTCTACCCACTTTTTTGTTAAATATTTTATAATCACGTAATTTCCATATTATTGGTTCATGTAACAAAAACTGTATATCTTTTACATGGTATAAAGTTTTAATTCCTGATTGGCCTTTCTGCGCCCTTTTTCTGTTACGTGGTTCTCTTGGATAAATTCCTTTAATTATACAAAGTCTTCGAAAATCGTTCAACGATAACTGCAATTTTTTCAAAGCTGCTTTTCTGGACATAAACTGTGCCCCCTCACCTACTGAATACTAAAAATAAATAATTAAATTGTGTTATGGTTTAAATTGTAACAAATTACCTTCTTCTTCCTTTTTGCAACCATATTTATCAACTTTACACAAAACACGCAGAAAAGTCAAAACACGTGCGATGAGGTTAGGTTTCGTAAAGACAGACAGAGTTGTCAAATTTCACCGCATGGTATTTAAAAAAAAAGGCAACTTTATACCGTAGACTACTTTTTAGTACTAAAAAAACATACTTGGATTGTAAATAGAATTATTTTAAAATGCACGCTTTGATTTGCGTTTTATATAAAAATTATGTGTAATCGTTGTAATAGTAATATACGCAACATGGCTAAATGAAAGTAACTACCTGGTTTGTTCTATGCTACCTACTAAAAGATGGCGCCACGTACGCAGTTTTTTGTTTCGTTGAATGGAGAAAATTAAAATTTCAAAAGAAGGCTTTTTTATTCAGTTTACATCATATTCGTATATTTGTTATATGGTTTACATTTAATTTGTTTGTTTCGTGTTTTTAGGTAAGTAAGTTTTAAACTTATTATTAATTAATGCAGTTTTCCTATTATTTGGTCTGTTTTAAAAATTTGCTTAATAGCTATAGGTTCTTCCATGGGCCATGGACCATGGCCTCAGTCTTAAATCGTTGAGTTAAATCAATGCTTAAATGTTTGTAAGACCATTAATTAAGTTTGATTGTATTGTTTTTTCTACTCCTACCATTAAAACGCCCTTTATTGTACATGTTTCCATGTCAATGTGTATTTAAGAGGTCACTTAAGTCAATGTGTATTTAAAAGGTCACTTATAACTTATAAGTTATAATTATAACTTATAAGTGACCTTTTAAATACATATTGACAAGTCGTAGCTTATGGCGTTTTAGTCACGGATTGAAGTTGACAACAGGTTTTTAATCACGGGCTGAAGTTAGTTTTAAGTTAATTGACAGTTGTCAAATGTCATACAATCGTTAAAATAATAGGTACCAAATGTGAAATTTATTGTATTATATTAAAACAAAAGTATTAAATAGTTTCTCAAGCCAATATTTGAAAAGTTTATATAAACATTGTACTGACTTTTTAATTTCGCCGGCAGTAAACTAGAATTAACTTAATTTCGGTCCCCACCGTGAAGTGTCCATAAAATTTTCTTTACTTTTGCTGTGAAAAACTGTTGTTAGTTCATTTTCAAGGGATACATTTCGATTTACACATACAAATTTGACATTTTCACCACAACAGTGTTGTGACAACACAGATTCCCAAGTTCCCATGGGAACTGCAGCTCTATACAAATATTTACACATCCCAAGCAACAATTTAAGTATTTGTTACGTAGGTATATGGGACTATTGAAGAAACTTCAAAGTGTTTTGCGACAGTCGCCGGTCTCTTTATATTACTCTTTCATTACTACGTTACGACTAAAGTGGGGAACAATTATTGAGTTCCAAAAAGGTAGCAAATATGTCACTAGCTACCAACCCTGCTACTATTTGGGACGTAGCTGCTACGTTACTAGAACGTTCCAATATCGTTGCTAGAGCGTTATAATTACTTTTATTATTTGTTTTTACTTCTATATTAACTGTCTTTGTCAAACTTATATTAGATTATACTATCCCTCCTTTTTTAAATGGAACCACTACGGACTTGGCTTTTCAATGTCGTCGTTTATTAAATATGTACTGGTAGTTTATAACTTCCAGAATAACAATATAATATTTAATTAGACAGGTAGATTTATAAACCCTTTAAATTTTACTGTTGAACTTATGAATTTAGTTTTTGTCAAATAAATGCGCTTCATCAATATTTAAGTATAAACAAATTATTTATTTAGTAATGTTTATAAATAAAAAAATCTTAATATTTATTATTATTTTTTTTATTTAATTATTAATACCGTCTATTACCAACAATATTTCTATTTATTAAAAAGTAAACAACCATTTACAAACAATTAAAATAATTTATTATTTACATTACCACGTGGTACTGTACAGTAAAAAATGGCCGATAAGAAGCATTTTCCTTTGAAGTAGTTTTCGCTACTTTAAAGTTTTTTTCCACTTTACGGTTGTTTTGGTTAGTACCATAAACGTTCCAAATACTAAAATAATAACTTTTAAGTTATTAACTTTGTAGTTTTTAACTCATGTTCCAGTTTCGAGATTTTAACTTGCAAAGGGACTACAAAGTAAAAATAATTATAATGTAATCTTTAGGTAGCAACCGAAAGTAACTGCTACAAATTAAATTTACTTGAAAGTTTTTTTTACTTATAACATCTTTTTTAAAGTTGCAAAGTCTTCTTGGGGGCAACCAAGTTTTACTTAAATGTTTATTACTTTATAGTAACAATTTAAGGAAAAATTAAGTTTCTGTTACAAAATATTGCTATTTAAAAGTTAGAATTACTTTTAAGTAAAAATTAAAGTAGCTGTTTAGTATACTTAACTAATTTAAAGTTATCACCACTTTGGCAATGGTTTTTGGAACCAAAAATGCTGCTTGGGATACTTCCAAGTACCCTGCTGAAAAAGACGGGTAATATCGGATGATTGCGGATAAAAAACCAAGCTAGTTTTATGTCCATTTATATCTGTTTTTATCCGACATATCTGATTTTACCCGGCATGTCGGTTTTTATCTGCAATTGCGGGTATAAATATTATCCGCGAACGTCGGGTTTTATCTATTTAAATATATGTCTGCTTTTATCTGTTTTTATCCGCAAATACCTGTATTTGAGTTTATATCTGCATTCACCCGGTTTTATCTGATTTTATCCGCAAACATCTACTTTAATCCGCAAACGTCTGCTTTATCCGATTTCACCTGCAAACATCTGCTTTTATACGTGAAGATCTACTTTCATCCGCGAACATCTATTTTAATCCACAAACATCTGTTTTAATCCGCAAACATCTCATTTAGTCCGCAATAGTCTGATTCATTTCACCTGCAAACATCTGCTTTTATCCGCAAACATCTGCTTTTATCCGCAAACATCTGCTTTTATCCGCAAACATCTGTTTTAATCTCCAAACATCTGCTTTTATCCGCAAACATTTATTTTAATCTGCAAATATCTGCTTTTATCCGCAAACATCTGATTTTATCTGCAAACATCTGATTTTATCCACAAACAACTGATTTTATTCGCAAACATCTGATTTTATCCGCAAACATGTGCTTTTATCCGCAAACATCTGTTTTAATCTCCAAACATCTGCCTTTATCCGCAAACATCTGATTTTATACGCAAACATCTGATTTTATCCGCAAACATCTCATTTTATCCGCAAACATCTGATTTTATCCACAAACATCTGTTTTAATCCGCAAACATCTGATTTTATACGCAAACATCTGATTTTATACGCAAACATCTATTTTAATCTGCAAATGTCTGCTTTTATCCGCAAACATCTGATTTTATCCGCAAACATCTGATGTTATCCGCAAACATCTGATTTTATCCGCAAACATCTGATTTTATCCGCAAACATCTGATTTTATCCACAAACAACTGATTTTATTCGCAAACATCTGATTTTATCCGCAAACATGTGCTTTTATCCGCAAACATCTGTTTTAATCTCCAAACATCTGCCTTTATCCGCAAACATCTGATTTTATACGCAAACATCTGATTTTATCCGCAAACATCTCATTTTATCCGCAAACATCTGATTTTATCCACAAACATCTGTTTTAATCCGCAAACATCTGATTTTATACGCAAACATCTGATTTTATACCTACGCAAACATCTATTTTAATCTGCAAATGTCTGCTTTTATCCGCAAACATCTGATTTTATCCGCAAACATCTGATGTTATCCGCAAACATCTGATTTTAATCGCAAAACATCTGATTTTATCCGCAAACATCTGCTTTTATTGGCAAACATCTGCTTTTATCCGCAAACATCTGATTTTATACGGAAACATCTGCTTTTATCCGCAAACATCTGCTTTTATCCGCAAACATCTGCCTTTATCCGCAAACATCTGATTTTATCCACAAACATCTGATTTTATCCGCAAACATCTGCTTTTATCCGCAAACATCTGATTTTATCCACAAACATCTGTTTTAATCCGCAAACATCTGATTTTATACGCAAACATCTGATTTTATACGCAAACATCTATTTTAATCTGCAAATGTCTGCTTTTATCCGCAAACATCTGATTTTATCCGCAAACATCTGATGTTATCCGCAAACATCTGATTTTATCCGCAAACATCTGATTTTATCCGCAAACATCTGCTTTTATCCGCAAACATCTGCTTTTATCGGCAAACATCTGCTTTTATCCGCAAACATCTGCTTTTATCCGCAAACATCTGATTTTATACGGAAACATCTGCTTTTATCCGCAAACATCTGATTTTATCCGCAAACATCTGATTTTATCCGCAAACATCTGATTTTATCCACAAACATCTGTTTTAATCCGCAAACATCTGATTTTATACGCAAACATCTGATTTTATACGCAAACATCTATTTTAATCTGCAAATGTCTGCATTTATCCGTAAACATCTGGTTTTATCCGCGAACATCTGATTTTATCCGCAAACATCTGATTTTATCCGCAAACATCTGATTTTATCCGCAAACATCTGATTTTATCCACAAACAACTGATTTTATTCGCAAACATCTGATTTTATCCGCAAACATGTGCTTTTATCCGCAAACAGATATCTGTTTTAATCTCCAAACATCTGCCTTTATCCGCAAACATCTGATTTTATACGCAAACATCTGATTTTATCCGCAAACATCTCATTTTATCCGCAAACATCTGATTTTATCCACAAACATCTGTTTTAATCCGCAAACATCTGATTTTATACGCAAACATCTGATTTTATACGCAAACATCTATTTTAATCTGCAAATGTCTGCTTTTATCCGCAAACATCTGATTTTATCCGCAAACATCTGATGTTATCCGCAAACATCTTATTTTAATCGCAAAACATCTGATTTTATCCGCAAACATCTGCTTTTATCGGCAAACATCTGCTTTTATCCGCAAACATCTGATTTTATACGGAAACATCTGCTTTTATTCGCAAACATCTGCTTTTATCCGCAAACATCTGCCTTTATCCGCAAACATCTGATTTTATCCACAAACATCTGATTTTATCCGCAAACATCTGCTTTTATCCGCAAACATCTGATTTTATCCACAAACATCTGTTTTAATCCGCAAACATCTGATTTTATACGCAAACATCTGATTTTATACGCAAACATCTATTTTAATCTGCAAATGTCTGCTTTTATCCGCAAACATCTGATTTTATCCGCAAACATCTGATTTTATCCGCAAACATCTGATTTTATCCGCAAACATCTGCTTTTATCCGCAAACATCTGCTTTTATCGGCAAACATCTGCTTTTATCCGCAAACATCTGCTTTTATCCGCAAACATCTGATTTTATACGGAAACATCTGCTTTTATCCGCAAACATCTGATTTTATCCGCAAACATCTGATTTTCATCTCAAACATCTGATTTTATCCGCAAACATCTGCATTTATCCGCAAATATCTGCTTTTATCTGCGAACATCTCCAAACATCTGCTTTTAATTGCAAATCTCTGCTTTCATCCGCGTTCGGTTTGCCTGTATTTCCTTTGTCCATTTCGGTCCTGTTTCGTACGCAAACGTCTGGTTTCATTCGCACTTTTTGTTTTCCTTTTTCTCGTGTATACTTTAGTTTAGTTTAACTGCTTTGTCAAATTTTACTGAGCTTTAACTAACTGGCACACAACTTTATAACTCTAAAAGGAATTATTTGAATAAAAACAACCTGTAAATATTATTTGGTAAAATACAAATAAGGTCTTTGTTAAAGGACATAAGTATATATTTTTTAATCATTAAGCTTACATTTAAATTAATTGTTAGAAAACATATATGTTTAATTTCAAATACATTTGGAATTATAACATCTTCAATTTGTATGGAATTTGTTTGAAAAACACTTATTTAGGCGTAGAATTTTTCATCTAACTTTAAAAACTTTTTAATTTTGGCATAACCAATATTTTTAATATACTTATTATTTCTGTGGTACTCTTCACTATAGTATACCTGATTTTTAAATGTAAATTTGGTGAATATAATTAAATTATTTTCCCATTGGGAAAATGTCGTGTTGAATAAACTTATTTCCTTTACAGGTTGTTTTTATTCAAATAATTCTTTTTAGAGTTATGCAGTTGTGTGCCGTGAACGGCTAACAACCAGTTAGTTAAAGCTCAGTAAAATTTGACAAAGCAGGTAAACTTAACTAAAGTATACACGAGAAAAAGGAAAACAAAAAGCGCGAATGAAACCAGACGTTTGGGTACGAAACAGGACCGAAATGGACAAAAAAAATACAGGCAAACCGAACGCGGATGAAAGCAGAGATTTGCAATTAAAAGCAGATGTTTGGAGATGTTCGCGGATAAAAGCAGATATTTGCGGATAAATGCAGATGTTTGCGGATAAAATCAGATGTTTGCGATGAAAATCAGATGTTTGCGGATAAAATCAGATGTTTGCGGATAAAAGCAGATGTTTGCGGATAAAAGCAGATGTTTGCGGATAAAAGCATATGTTTGCGGATAAAAGCAGATGTTTGCAGATTAAAATAGATGTTTGCGGATAAAATCAGATGTTTGCGGATAAAAGCAGATGTTTGCCGATAAAATCAGATGTTTGGAGATTAAAACAGATGTTTGCGGATAAAAGCAGATGTTTGAGGATAAAATCAGATGTTTGCGAATAAAATCAGTTGTTTGTGGATAAAATCAGATGTTTGTGGATAAAAGCAGATTTTTGCAGATAAAATTAGATGTTTGCGGATAAAGGCAGATGTTTGCGGGGGTGCACTAACCGGATGAAATAAGGCGTTCGCAGATAAAAGCATGTTTACTGGTGAAACCGTATGAAAGCAGATGTTCGCGGATAAAATAAGATGTTTGCGGATAAAAGCTAATGTTTGGGGATGAAAGCAGATGTTTGCGGATAAAAGCAGATGTTCGCGGATAAAATGAGATAGTTGCGGATAAAAGCAGATGTTCGCGGATAAAAGCAGATGTTCGCGGATGATTGCAGATGTTCGCGGATAAAATCAGATGTTCGCGGATGAAAGCAGATGTTTGCGGATAAAAGTAGATGTTTGCGGGTGATTGCAGATGTTCGCGGGAGATTGCAGATGTTCGCGGATAAACGCAGTTGTTCGCGGGTAACTGCAGATGTTCGCGGATGAAAGCAGATGTTTGCGGATAAAAGCAGATGTTCGCGGATAAAATGAGATGTTTGCGGATAAAAGCAGATGTTCGCGGATAAAATGAGTTGTTCGCGGATGAAAGCAGATGTTCGCGGGTGATTGCAGATGTTCGCGGATAAAAGCAGATGTTTGCGGGGGTGCACTAACCGGATGAAATCAGGCGTTCGCAGATTAAAGCATGTTTGTGGGTAAAACCGTATGAAAGCAGATGTTTGCGGATAAAACCAGACGTTTGCGGATGAAAGCAGATGTTCGCAGGTGATTGCAGATGTTCGCGGATAAAAGCAGTTGTTCGCGGGTAACTGCAGATGTTCGCGGATGAAAGCAGATGTTCGCGGATAAAAGCAGATGTTGGCGGATAAAATCAGATGTTCGCGGATGAAAGCAGATGTTCGCGGATGATTGCAGATGTTCGCGGGTAAAAGCATATGCTCGCGGATAAAACCAGACGTTTGCAGATAAAACCCGACAAAAATAGACGAAAAAAAATGCAGGTAATCGCGGATAAAAACAGACGTAAGCAGACGTTTGCAGATGATTCCGGACAAATTCAGATATAAACGAAACACAGTGAAGACGGTTAAAAACAGATGATTGCAGATGATAGCGGGGGTGCACTAACCGGACATAAAACACAACCAACCGGGTGTTCGCGGATATAGCGATGCGGACAAAAGCAGATTTTATCAGATGATATTTTTACCCGCTTTTATCTGCTTTTATCCGGCTTCGACGAAGAATTTATACCCGCAATCATCTGCTTTTATCCGGTTTTGACGAAGAATTTATATCCGCAATCATCCGTCATTTTCAGCAGGGTAGGTATGTGAATATGTATTTAAATTATTTTTAGATAACAATAAGTATTCGTCTTGAAAAAAGTATAGTACCTATGCAAGTCGTTTGTCAACTATTCTAGACACTCATTTAATGAAACACTCGCTCGCAAGCTCGCTCGTGCCTAATTTAAAATCGTGACTAAAATTGCGTTAATCGAACTTTATACATAAAATACTTGATAATAAACAGTGCTGTTTATTTAATTAGTTAAGTAAGTTTTTAATTATTATACTGTTTTAAAAGTACTATATGATTAATCCTATAATAGATAATATTTTTATATGGTGCGGGATGATTAATCGTCGAACTATTTAAATGATTACAGGAATTGGGTAATAAAATCATGGTCGATATGAATAATGCATTTATTGCAGATATTCGCATTAAAACGTACAAAAATTAAATCTAATTGACTAATAAAGAAAGTAATAATAATTGTTAAAGTTATATGTACAGAACTGTATAAACAAAACTTTGGTGTTTTCCAGCTATCACAAAATACATACAAATCCCAAAAAAATTGTTCCTGAGAAGCCTAACTAATCAGAAATATTAAATGTCGACGACGTTTAATATATTATGTACAATTTATGTAATTTTGATAATCTCTTAGAGATTATAGACTTTTTAAAGTTAAATAAAGCTTTGTTAGGTTATGCAAAACCATAAACCAAAAAATGGGCTATTTTAAGTAAGTACAGTCTTAACTTTATATAAATATTTACAAATATGAACATTTGTACAGGGTGAGATCAAAATAAATAGAATAAGTAAAAATTTAGACAGCTACAATTTTGCTCGGGTCCACTTTAACTCTTATAAACATAGTGTCATCTTTCATGAAATGCCTTTTCTTGAGCATCTCGTGCGAGACGAATTTGGGAAATCCGAAGCCCAGGCTGTCGGGTTCCTTGCTGGGTCTCTGGAAATTCTTCCATGTCGGGTCCGGAATGAAACTCTCGACGATGTTGCACGCCTTTTCCGGACACGTCGACTGGTCGAAGAGGGTGAAGGAGACGGAGTGTGCGAAAGGCCAACGCAAGAGGGCGTCGTATTCGCCGGGTAGAATTTTTATGTAGACGGAGATGTGCGTGTTCTCGCCTGCGCCGTTTCCGTTAGGAAATAGAGAGGCCTGAAAAAAAAACAATCGTTTAAATTTATTTATGAATGAAAGTTTTATTGGTTGTTTTGAGTAATTAGGATGTGGCTTTTTAATATACATCTGTGGTTATAGGTTTCTGTATTATACAGAATTATTATAATCATCAAGTTTGTGTTGCAATTTATTACGGTTTTGTGGTGTTTTTGTAGAATTTTATGTGATTTTATAAAAATTCCCCTATTTTGTTGTTTTTTTTGTAAATTTTGTCATTCTTTTACAATTTAAGATTTTTTTGGTGACTTGTGTAATTTCTTTTATTATGTATTAGGGTGTTTAAAAAAAAACCGAAATGTTTTTTTATTGCCAACAGGCTCAAAAGTTTTGTTTGGATATAAAAATAGGCCTGTAAAGATATGACCTCTTAATTTTAATATCTTAATGCTCTGCATCAAACTTTTCAATTTTTTTGTTTCTTCTGATTTTTGTAACTCACCAACCAAAGGTTATACAGAAAATGTGTTTGGATATTTTTGTAGAGAATTAAACGCTCTACAAAAAGGTTTTCTATGATTTTTTGCTAAACTAAATGGTTAAAAATTTATTAAAGATCAAAGTTCAACTCACTCTCAATTTTGCCGATTTTTCGGTATTGCAGCGTTTTGTATTAATATAATATTATTTTAGTGAAATGTAATATTTACATTTGTAAATGAAAAAAAAATGGTTAACGACTCTTGTAATGTCAAATTTATGTTCCGCACAGGGTTGCCAGAGGTCCCGATTTTAATCAATGTGACCCGATTTGTCCCGCGTTTTGCAGGTCGAAAATCCCGATTTTTAAGTAATTTTAAAAATTGCACTACTTATGTTATAACCGAGTTATAACAATAACATTAATAATAATCGACCTTATTAGGTTTTAACTTTAAATAAGACAAAATTAGCCTTGAACTGACAGATAGATAACCTTAATTATTTGTTTTTAAATGTCAAGGTGGGACTTTTGAGCGTGAAGCATAGTACATACCAGGTGGGGCCCACCTACCAGGTTGCTCCTTCTGTATTTAATTTTGTCTTCTTGAATTAGCGTTAAACTGACAGATACATAACCAGTGTTGTAACGTATCTAGTTACAAGTAACTAGATACAGTATCTAGATACTTTTTATGTATCTGTTTGTATAACTAGTTACTTATCCCAATCTAGTAACTATAACTGTAACTTGTTACAAATTCTAAGTAACCAGGCACCTGTGTTAAGATACAAAGTTACATTTTTAATTAAATTGCGACTATTATTTTATTAAAAAAAAATATTATAAAAAATAAGTTATTTTAAATTAAATATTATAAAAAAAATAAAATTATAAACATGTATATTAAAATTCCCTTTTATTGCTATTTTAAATTTTTCAAAGCAAAAAATAATTTGTATGTATCTTAAAGTATCTAGATACTTTTTGAAGGTAACTAGTTACTGCAATAAAATATGTATTGTATCTTTATCGCTTTTTCATTTGCAAGATTTGGCAACAATGTTTCCGCATGAAATTTCGTGCTCAATTTTTCCGCTGCAATACCGAAAAATCGGCAAAATTGAGACTTTGATCTTTAATAACTTTTTAACCAATTAGTTTAGCAAAAAATCACAAGAAACCTTTTTTGTAGAGCGTTTAATTCTCTATAAAAATATTTAAACATATTTTCTGTATGATCTTTGGTTGGTGAGTTACAAAAATCAGAAGGAACAAAAAAATTTCCCCATGTTATTTTAATGGAAAATCAAAAAGTGCGATGCGGAGCATTAAGATATTAAAATTAAGAGCTCATATTTTTACAGGCTTATTTTATACCTAAACTTTTGAGCCCGTTTGCAAGAAAAAAAACAATTCTATTTTTTTAAAAACCCTATTAAATATACTATTTTTTTTATTGTTTCTTGTATATTTTTCTGCTACTATTGTCTGACTTTTTAGAAATTAAGATTTTTTTAGAAATTTAATAGTCTTTTCAATGGTTTTATTTTTTATATCCTTCACAGTTGTATACTTTGGTGTTCATTTTTGTGCTAAGCAAAAATATGTAAAAAAAAATATAAGAAAAATTACCTGCAACTTATATCCATACTGACTAGTGTAAAAAGGTGGCGACACCAACTCCATGCCTTCCTTATTCCTCGCTTCGGCCATCTTGGCCGAAAAATCGCTAATCTTCCAAATCAAAGTACCAGAATAATTCAATGAAAGCCTACTCAAAGCACTTTTCAATGAAGTAATCTGATGTTGTTGCTTGGAAACCATGGTGCACATCATCGTCAAATGTTGCTGACAGTTCTCTTCCAAATGCTTATCCATGTTGTATCTGGGTCCTTTGAATCTACACCCAGCTTCTTTGAAGCTGCAGGACTGCACCGAAACCGTGCATTCTTCTTTTAAGTGAGCCTCCAATTCCTCTCTAGCCAATACGTTTGCTTCGCACCTGTTCGGGCAGGAAACGGGCACTCTGCCGCATTTAAGGTGATGCGCGGTGAGTGTATCGCAAACGAATTCCTTCGCGCAGTAGCGGCAAGGGAGTAGGCGTTTCGAGCAGTCGGATGTTTTGTGTTGGCTGAGGTGGCGACGCGCGATTTTCACGCCGCATTTGTTTTCACAGTAGAGGGGCTCGTATCCGCAGTTGCCCACGTGATTCTGTTAGAAAAAAGAAAATAAATTTAGGGTTCTGTTCTTTTTTCTCCACGCGGTCTATACTTTAAACTTTATTGTTGTCAACATTCGTTAAAGAAATACCTTGTTATGGCCTAGGCCGATAAAAAATTTTCTTACTACCCCGACTGAAAATACGTTGTTTCGTCCCCGATTCCACGGCAGAAAGTTTACGTTTGATGCATTGGTCAAGCTATACGCGCACCCTCTATAATAGCGGGAGTAAAAATTTTTTAGTCGTGTGCACTAGTACTCAACATATGCAACTCTGATTACGACACTAATATAACCTCAAAATTTGTTTTCAATTAGTTAATTAATTTCCCGTATTTTCGGCCGGGTTGGGTTGGGTTGTATTTTCGGCCGAGGTAGTAAGAAAAATAGTATACACTACACGGGCAGAAAGTGTGAGAGCCCTGCACTGCCCTTGTAGTGTAATATACTATTTATGAGGCAAGTAATTAGTTCGATTTTTTCTCGCTAGAGGTATTGTTTTGACAAATTAATCCTTTTCTAAGAAATTAACGTACTAAACTGGTTTAATTTATTTATAATAAGCACTAATTTGTTTGTTTTACTGTTAATGTTTAATATTTTTCATTAAATTATTGTAAAATTAAATATGAATAATAAAACAAAAAGTGAGGTTAGGCAACCAAGAAAACGCACGAATCTTTTTCTACGATTTAAATTATCTTTAAGTTTTAATTTGCTTTAAGTTTTCAGTGAAATTAAATGTTAAACACAGCTTAAACATTCCAAACTACCTATTTTTTAAATAAAAATCCAAACAAATTGAAATTAGATACCTACCTATTTATTAAACAGTTAATTGAATTCAATGTAATAGCAAAAATCCCTTTCTACTTAAATCATGTTGCTAGGTATTGTCAAACTATTACTGCTTCTAAAAGCAATAATAATTATTGTACATTTAATGTAATCTTTAGCTAATAAATAAATGAGATTCTAAAAAAGTGAGGTTAGGCCGCTTTGATGTTGAATTAAATTGACCTATATAAAGTGCTTTGAAGATAAAATGTTGTATGCCATTCGGCCAAGAAGTGCCTTTTTGTGCTTCGCTCAATTGTAGGCCTCCGCTACGCATCGGCCTTTAAACCTTGAGCTTAGCACAAAAAGCCGTACTTCTTAACCTAATGACATAAATAACTATTATAGTTGATTTCCATGAATATGTTTTACCAATTAAAGGTGAAGCAGTTGTTAGTTTTTTTGTTATTTTTACGAAATTATTTTGTAATTTCCTACAAAAAAAATCAATGAAAACCTCTAGAAATAATTAAAACCATATGAAATTATCAAAAACTAAAAAAACTAAGGGGAAATTTAAAAATATATTTAAAAATAGTGTAAAATCTTGAAATCAACTTTTACCTCCCAAGTTGTACTAACACATACTGCTTCATTCACCATTTTCACCGGAAACCGAGCAAAAACAGTGTTTACAACACCACACACATGGTGTGATGTTTTATAAACAAAAACGCAAATAAAAATTCTTACCTCCAAAGCATGTCCGCTGAATTCCTTATTACAAAATTCACACCTTGTCCTCCTCTGGGGACAAGTATATTTCAGATGGTCCTCCATAAGGACTCTTGGAATTTGAGCGCCACATTTGCTAGTGCAGGGAATGGCGTCATGTTTGCAGGTGTTTAAATGACCCTGAAAAGGATTTTTACGAATAAATACTAGCTCGTTTTTGTAGAGGATTTTGTATGACATTTTTGACAGTCGCCTGTGGATTGTATGTACATTTTTTCATTGGTGTTAACATACCTTTAATTTCCTTAGTTCATCTGACCATTTGCATCCTTCTTTATGATGAATGCAGTAAACGACTGAGCTCATAATGGCCTTTTCTGATTCAGGATCAGGGTAAATCTGAAACAATGAAAAATACATTTAACATATGTCGTAAAATTGCAATGTTATTATTCTAAAGAATTCCGATTTACTGCTACTCTACCATAAATATGAACAATGCATACCAAAGATTATTGTATAAAAGCTATAAAGTATTTGAATAGTTTGAGATTAATAAGAATTGGTGCATTTCCATGTTATACAATACAACACATCAAGAACCTGTCCTACAGCATAGGTTCTGCTATATTAGATATTCGCATATGTTAAAGAAATTTACCACTACTACTTGAGGTCATGAATGGTAGATCATACAAAATATTTTCATAATTGAATTAGCAAGCAAACAAGTAGTAAAGCCTCAACTCGTCCGAACAAACATTTACGTAACATATTTCAAAAAGATCATTGTAACCTTATCAGCTAAAAATATTCTGTCGATTTTTTTAATAGAAACATTATCATAAAACATCAAAACAATGCATTTCATTGTTTGTTGTTTTGAAAACTTTAATTGCTTTCTTTGCGGCAATGTTAATACTATTTCCTTACACTTCCTTTACTTGGGTCAATAGACTTAAAAAAAGTAATGCTTGACAAAAAATAGCGTTTTCGGTGACAATGGACAGATTAAATATGCAGATGGCACCTATGAAATTTAAAAATGTATTGTATTAGGAAAATAACAAAAGTATATTGGCTGTTAGTTAATCGAAAGGATAAAAACGTGTAATAAAACCTGAGCCTTTTGCATTCAGACACGTTTATGTCATAATTTCGGACATGCTTTTATAGTACATATTTTCCCTGGTGAACCATTCAGGAATTTAATTTTGTGCACTGCATTGAATTCCTTAAAACCGTAATTTGATGGCACAAAAAATGGTTTCATAACGCAACAAAATTGGTTTGGAATCGTTTGCTTTCACTTTTATAATTATAGGATCTATGAAATTGGGATTAATTTTAAGTTTGTTATAGGTATGCAACTTATAAATTTTGTTGGTCCAACAAACTTTATTTGACTAAAAATTGTGTTAAAGTACTAAAAAATAATTGCGTGAGAAAAAAATTAAACAGTCGCTAAAAAACTGAGTTCCGTGATATAAATTTAAATTTTATTATACCTATTCTATCGCCCATGTAAGAAAAATCAAGGCGATCTACTGGGTTTTTTGGGCAAAAACAATCTTCATGATAAAACAGGTGTGTCGGTATAATAGGATACAAAATCTTAATATAAAAACTGCACCCACATAAGTTCAAAGGATTCACAAACGTGGGTAAAATGTCTAAGAATTATAATTGTTGAATAAAACAAGTGTCATTCATTATTAAAACTAGTTTTGTAAAACGTATTTTTGCCAAAACTTGTTTTTATAAACCGTTTTTTTTACTTTGTTTGTATGGAAGAATAATGTATTCAAAATCATTAGAGCATATTATGAAGAATTTGTAATTTTATACCCAATTATTTGTAACCGTTTTATTGTTAAGAGGAAATACCTACAACCCTTAGGCCTTAATATTCTCACACAATAGTGTGGGTGACTCAGTTAGCTTAATCGAGATACTTGGAAGTAATTTTTATTTCTTCTCTACGTGGGTTGAAAGTGCATTTTACAGTTTTTCATAATTATTTCTGTAGGTTTTAATGGTTCAATTGGTGCCTTATTCCATTGTATAGACACAATGAATTTTAGACGTTTTAATCATAGATAATTTATAAAAGAAAAGGATCTTTTATAAACCTCGAATACCTACCAAGAAACCATAAAAACCAAACATGCGTTTTAAATATTCAGTATATCTTTTGTGAACAAGCCTGCGGGACAGGATGTAAAATTTTTATAATTATACTTGTAAATAAGCCAAGTAATAATCACAGCTGACAAGCTCTGAGGTTGTTTCTAATTTATATGACTATAGAAACTCAATTTTGCAAAATAGAACCGGGTTAAAATTATCATATCGAATCTAATGTATCGTATCAGCTGTTCTTTATTTTGAAAACCATTGATCTCAATTTGTTAATAATAATGTTTTATTTGTTTTATATGGAGTACTGTTAAAGGATCTAGATAACATTAATTAAAAGGTAAGTATCTAGATTATATATTTAATTGCAACATAACTTGTTTTAGGTTTGATGGGGCAAGATTGAACAAGATTTTAGTCATTTTTAGGACGAAAACTAACGACTTATTATTATTAGTCTTATATAAAGGGTTGCCAGATATAAAAATGTCGAAATATAGAATTAAATTAAATGTATAAAAGTTTAAAAAAATATATGCAGAAGATTTATGTAAATCATTTATAACAAATTTGTTAAAAATAAATACATACAGTACAAAACGAACTTTCACAAGTTTTTAACTAAAATTTTAATTTATATTTTACTGCTACATTAAATTTGTTTTCTTTGCGATAAAGGGGCAAAAACGTCAAAACTATGCTTGTTTGGATTGGTTAAAAAAAGTTTTCACGTTACATAGGTATCTACTGTTTTTTATATACACTCTGCTCTTTTAGAGCAATCAAAGTGACGAAATATTATCTTTCTTTCCAAACTTACTTGATTAACATCATTATTAGACAAATTGTTGTTCATAATCCCATTAATTTCGTTATTTTTGCTTAACGAGTTACTGCTCGGTGTCGGCGTGATAGTCGGACTGATTTGATGAATATTTATGTTATCCTTAGATCCCTTATTGGGAGAAATCCTTGCCGGAAAACTGAGAGTTTTTGTCCACTGCGCTAAACTGCGAACCATTTTTAACACACTAAAATTTTCTCACTTGTCACGAACTTTCTCTGCTTGTTTGTACGTACAATGTTCTCTCGCGAAGCGTCAATTCGGAACTGAATTGTTTTGGATCTTTCGCCTCGCACTCGGCCTTTCAAAGGCCTTTCTGTCCCCACCACCGCCTAGGGCGACTTGACGGAACAGCTGTTTTGGTGCACTCTTGATGTAGTGGGAGCAAATGTAACGTATTTTCTTGAGGAGATATTAGTGGTTTTGTTTTTCTTTTGTTAGGTATTCTTTACTTTTTTGAAATATTTTGGATAATTGCTTTCGTGACCAAGTTTAATTAATTTTGCGCAAAGATTTTGCGAGTTTGTACAGGATTTAACTGTTAGGAACTTGTTTTAGTGGTAACGTTCGCAAATTCCTGAATAATTTTGAATTTAATGAGTTGTTTTTTTATTGTTTCCTGTCATGATTTTTAAGATTTTAAGTAGGTACCTACATTTATTTATATCTATGAATAGTCCATTAAGTAAGTATTTTTATGATTTTTTACAAATAAAAATAATTTTCAGATTAGGTAGGTATATTGTATTATACGCTATTTGCCTATGTATAAACGTTTAAACCTTTAAATTGATAAATAAAACTCATATACCTAGTTAGGTATAACTATCCAGCGCGGATCCAGCAATTTATAAATTTTAAAAAAATTTAAAGAATTTTTTTTAATACTTAAAACCTAAAATAGGTACCAATTTATTGGAAATAAAAAGTAAATAAAATAATATTTTAATTCTACAGCAATATTAATTAATTATTTGATAATGAAAATTGTTCATTAATATTTTTTTATTTAAAACATTAATTTTACAAATTTTCATGTTTTGTTAACTTTTTAACTCTGAATAATAAAGAACTTTTTAGCTAGCTGGGCAATTCCATGATTACCTACTAACGGGACAAAAAGGAAGAAGACAAAATGTTTTATGAATATTTTTGATGTGTTCCTATAACATAGGTAGGTATAATTATAATTATTGTTGTACCTACCTATAATAATATATTATTATAGGTAGGTACAACACATCTTCAAAAATCTTCATGAAACATTTTGTTTTCTTTCTGTTGGTCTCATTAGGACTGAAAAACTTTTATTTAACCCCATAATATGAATTATATCTTTCGGACAATTAAATATATGAAGAACATTAAACTGATTTCTATTTTAAAAGCTTAAACAAAATTATTGTAAAGATTATAAGATAATTATCTTTTTCTACTCCTATTAAAAATTATTAATATTATTTGTTTTTTTTCGTAAATAATGTTAACCTATATAAGAGCCCCGCCTAACAACGGGAATAATGAACCAATTATTCACGTTGTAAGGCATCAGTGATTGGCTGATTTCAATATTGAACCAATCGGGTTTTAAATTGGGAAAAAGTAAGGTTAACAGATATACAAGGGGCGACTATAATGATCTTTAAAAACGGGATAAAGATAATTTTTAATAATGTGTTAGGATGGAATTTTAACAAGGATTTTTTATTTGAATGATTTTTGGGTACTATACGTACCTTATAATTTTGTTTAATTATTATAAATGTTGTTATAATTACAATTTAAACTTAAATACCTTGGCTAGATTTTAAATTGTTTCCCTTGAACTATTTTAGTTTTTTACTAAAAATTGTACATGTTTTTAGTATTTATTTTTTATAATTTTGTTTTATTTAATTTTTAGATTGACAGTTTCATTAAGTTTTTATATGTATTTTTCCTTTGGTTTAAAATATTTTTTATTTATTTTTAAGATTTAGATATAAACGGGTTTCGTGAAGTTTTTTATACTCTTAGATATTTTTGTCCCTTACTTATATTATTTTCTTTCATAATGTTGGATTTCCTAATCTTTTTTTGTAGGTACGTTCATATTTTTTGTTTTCTTAAAATAAGTAAAAAAAATGTTTCATACTTATTAGTATTTTTTTCGCCGGGTATTTTTTTTTTTGACGATGTACTTAATTCTATAAAAAGTAAGTGTCGAGTTTAAATATTTATTTTTGGATTTTCTTTAAATTTTTCTAATAATTTTTATTTATTTTGAGATTTTCTATTATAATTATAATAATTGTTTTTACCAATTTTGATTTATTTCCTCGATTTCTTACTTTCTTTTTTTATATCGTTAGATATATGTATGTTTTTTTACTTTTTTCTTAATTAAATAAAATTACAAGTACTTATTTTTAATCTAAATAAATAAACACAGTACCTAACTGTAACTATAAAATTTAAGATAAATTCTTTCTTTATTTACGTATGTTTTCATTGTTTGGTAATAATTACTATACCTTCAAAAAATATTTAGAGCATATAGCGTAAATTTTAACATTTAAAGATTTTGATGGAGAAACATTAATTAAATTAGGTTAAATTGGTTTTGTAAATACCCATTCATTCAGAAAATCCCAAACTTTGAATGGGCATTATAATAATTATTTTTTAAATAAAATATTCTAGAGAGTTATACAAAATCTCGTACATGATTAAAAACTATTTAAATGAATTTATTCAACAAGCCATTGTTACCAAGTTTTGTTGTTTATTTTGCATATTTTATGATATACCATATTATTCAAAAATGTATTAATATTATTAATATTTGTAAATATTAAATTATCGGAAGTTCTTTGAAATATTTATTTATTTACCTAATAATTATAAACCAACATTACTTAATTTAAAAATTATTGATATATTCAATAAAAAACTTACCTAAACGTTTTGCGGTTACGATTTAAATACATTTGATCTCAAAAACGAATGAACCAAAAAGTAACAAAAACGATTTACTAAAAATTACCCCGACTCCAGTCAGCTGTTCGGCGTTTACAATGGACAAGAAAGAGAATTTCAATTTCAAACCCTCGAAGGCCTCTTTGGCTTAATAGCATCGAAACATCGCAAATAAAACTAGTTTTAGCCTGGGGAGTCGATGAGTCATTTAATTGGTCAAAATAAAAAGTTTTTATGTTCATGCTATGTAAAGTTGCCCTCATTATAAGATTAATTGGTTGAAAGATACAATGAACCCCTTTTCGTTAAGGGTTAAGTAACGGTTAAAAGTGACTATTTTAAATAATAGAAAATTAAACAAATGATTTTTATTATTTTAAATCACAAAAGCATTGTCAATGGAAAAAATATTAACAAATAGCAGTTTTAATATAAAAAAACTGTCTACAGATCATATCCAATGTATATTTAAGTGGAAAATAATATTTCTATTTCAAGAACTCTTATCTGTCACTTAATTTCAATTAGTCCCCTAAATTTTAGAAGGTCCTTAACGATTTAACTCAGGTAGTCTTCAAAACCGTTTGAAATGGACAAAGGTCCATTTAGCGATAAGAACAATTTCACATGCATTTATAACTGATACCTATACCCTTATATATTATAATTAAAATATTTAATAATGCCATGGCTTTAATTATTCAGTAAATAAGGGTTTACTCATGGAATAATGAATGACATTACATGATGAACAGATGTTATTCACATAAAAATTGATATTCTCACCATGTTTATTAAACTAAACTATATTTATTAACGTTTGCACTTAAACTAATTCAAGAATGACTTATGCAATCGTTTATATATTGTATAAGCAATACTTGTTGGGACCTGTACGGTCCAGCCTGTCCATCCTCGGTGTTTAGGTCTTTCTTTGTCCAATTTGAAACGCAATACAAAGAGAGACCTGACTTGAGTGAGAGTAAGTAAAATCTTGTCGGATCCTGTTGGCGGCAAGTTACCTTGCCCGGAGCCAAGTTGAAACGGTTTTTAGTCCGTCGTTATTAACCTACAGACCCAAAATTAACGACACAAAGATGCACGATAGCTTTAGAAAAAGTAGCGAACAGTTCGCTGCGAACTACTACTTAATGGTCGATTAATGGTTTTAAGAATCATTTAATAAAATAACTAGTTTTAAAACCTATTCTTTCGAACACAATGTGAAATTATTTTATTCTATTTACAATACCTAAAGAATTTATTTTAAAGTGTTATTTTCATATATATTATATATAGGATAAAGCCAATTTCTAAAATGAAATATACATTAAAATATAAATTAAAACATAAATTAAAAATAAATTCATCGAAATTATGTATTAAGTTTGATGACGAATTTAAATTAGGCACGAGCGAGCTTACGAGCGAGTGTTAAATTAAGTGAGTGTCTATAAAAGTTTATAAACGAGTTGCTTACAAAACCTTTTCTACGACAAATACTTATTGTTATCTAAAACTTATTTAAATTAAATATTTGAATAGAGCGACATCTATAAAACAATAGAGTAACCAACTTGGGAATCTGTATTACCGGCGCGCCGGTGAAAATGTCAAATTTTTATGTGTAAATCGAAATCTATTTCTTGAAAATGGACTAACATTAATTTTTCACAGTGAATGTAAAGAAAATGTTTTATGGACACTCCACGGTGGAGTCTCCACCCAAAATTAGAAGGTCAGTACAATGTTCCTATAATTTTTTTAATATTGGGATTGAGAAACTATTTACTTTTTTATTTTTGTATTGAGATAATAAAATAATTTTTAAATTTAGTATCTATTATTTTACAAAAAATGCACCTTATTTTTATGATTGTATGACATTTGACAACTTAAAATTAACTTTAGCCCGTGACTAAAAACCTGTTGCTAACTTCAGCCCGTGACGCCATAAAGCCACATGTGTATTTTAAAGGTCACTTAATATCATGGAAACATGCATGTACATGTACATAAATATTTATTAAAAAATTAATTATAAAATTCTTTTTTCTACTCCCACCTTTAAAACGCCCTTTATCATACATGTTTCCATGACACTAAGTGACCTTTTAAATACACATTGACAAGTTGTGGCTTTACGACGCTTTAGTCACGGGCTGAAGTTAGTTTTAAGTTAGTTGACAGTTGTCAACTGTCATACAATCGTTAAAATAAAGTGCCTTTCTTGTAAAATAATACTAAATGTGAAAATTATTTTATTATCTCAATACTAAAATACAAAAATATTAAATAGTTTCTCAACGT